AGTGTCTTATAGTATTCTGCATACAGGTCTTTTGTCTCCCTAGACAGGTTTATTCCTAGGTATTTTATTCTTTTTTGTTGCAATGGTAAATGGGAGTGTTTCCTTAATTCCTCTTTCAGATTTTTCATCATTCATGTATAGGAATGCAAGAGATTTCTGTGCATGAATTTTGTATCCTGCAACTTTTACCAAATTCATTGATTAGCTCTAGTAGTTTTCTGGTGGCATCTTTAGGATTCTCTATATAGTATAATGTCATCTGCAAACAGTGACCGTTTTACTTCTTCTTTTCCAATTTGTATTCCTTTTATTTCTTTTTCTCCTCTGATTGCCGTGGCTAGGACTTCCAAAACTATGTTGAATAATAGTGGCGAGAGTGGACATCCTTGTCTTCTTCCTGATCTTAGAGGAAATGCTTTCAGTTTTTCACCATTGAGAATGAGGTTTACTGTGGGTTTGCCATATATGGCCTTTATTATGTTGAGGTAGGTCCCCTCTGTGCCCACTTTCTGGAGAGTTTTTATCATAAATGTGTGTTGAATTTTGTCAAAAGCTTTTTCTGCATCTATTGAGATGATCATATGGTTTTTATTCTTCAATTTGTTAATATGGTGTATCACATTGATTGATTTGCGTATACTGAAGAATCCTTCCATCCCTGGGATAAATCCCACTTGATCATGGTGTTTGATCCTTTTAATGTGTTGTTGGATTCTGTTTGCTAGTATTTTGTTGAGGATTTTTGCATCTATATTCATCAGTGGTATTGGTCTGTAATTTTCTTTTTTTGTAGTATCTCTGTCTGGTTTTGGTATCAGGGTGATGGTGGCCTCATAGGATGAGTTTGGGAGTGTTCCTTCCTCTGCAGTTTTTTGGGAGAGTTTGAGAAGGATGGGTGTTAGCGCTTCTCTAAATGTTTGATAGAATTCACCTGTGAAGCCTTCTGGTCCTGGACTTTGTTGGAAGATTTTTAATCACAGTTTCAATTTCATTACTTGTGATTGGTCTGTTCATGTTTTCTGTTTCTTCCTGGCTCAGTCTGGGAAGGTTATACCTGTCTAAGAATTTGTCCTTTTCTTCCAGGTTCTCCATTTTATTGGCATAGAGTTGCTTGTAGTAGTCTCCTATGATGCTTTGTATTTCTGTGGTGTCTGTTCTAACTTTTCCTTTTTCATTTCTATTTTTATTGATTTGAGTCCTCTCCCTCTTTTTCTTGATGAGTCAGGCTAATGGTTTATCAATTTTGTTTATCTTCTCAGAGAACCAGCTTTTAGTTTTATCGATCTTTGCTCTTGTTTTCTTGTTTCTATTTCATTTATTTCTGCTCTGATCTTTATGATTTCTTTCCTTTTGCTAACTTTGGGTTGTGTTTGTTCTTCTTTCTCTAGTTCCTTTAGGTATAAGGTTAGATTGTTTATTTGAGATTTTTCTTGTTTCTTGAGGTAGGCTTGTATTGCTATAAACTTCCCTCTTAGAACTGCTTTTGCCGCATCCCGTAGGTTTTGCGTCATTGTGTTTTCATTGTCATTTGTCTCTAGGTATTTTTTGTTTTCCTCTTTGATTTCTTCAGTGATCTCTTGGTTATTTATTAACGCATTGTTTAGCCTCTATGTGTTTGTGTTTTTTACATTTTTTCCGCTGTAATTTATTTCTAATCTCATACCATTGTGGTTGGAAAAGATGCTTGATATGATTTCAGTTTTCTTAAATTTACCAAGGCTTGTTTTGTGACCCAATATGTGATTTATCCTGGAGAATGTTCCATGTGCACTTGAGAAGAAAGTGTAATCTGCTGTTTTCAGAATGAATGTCCTATAAATACCAATTAAATCTATCTGGTCTATTGTGTCATTTAAAGCTTGTGTTTCCTTATTAATTTTCTGTTTGGATGATCTGTCCATTGGTGTAAGTGAGGTGTTGAAGTCCCCCACTATTACGGTGTTACTGTCAATTTCCTCTTTTATAGCTGTTAGCAGTTGCCTTATGCATTGAGGTGCTCCTATATTGGGTGCATATATATTTATAATCGTTATATCTTCTTCTTGGATTGATCCCTTGATCATTATGTAGTGTCCTTCCTTGTCTCTTGTAACAGTCTTTATTTTAAAGTCTATTTTATCTGATATGAGTATTGCTCCTCAGCTTTCTTTGGATTTCCATTTGCATGGAATATCTTTTTCCCATCCCCTCACTTTCAGTCTGTATGTGTCCCTAGGTCTGAAGTGGGTCTCTTGTAGACAGCATATATAAGGATCTTGTCTTTTGTATCCATTCAGCGAGCCTGTGTCTTTTGGTTGGATCATTTAATCCATTCACGTTTAAGGTAATTATCAACATGTATGTTCCTATCACCATTTTCTTAATTCTTTTGGGTTTGTTTTTGTAGGTACTTTTCTTCTCTTGTGTTTCCCACTTAGAGAAGTTCCTTTAGCATTTGTTGTAGAGCTGGTTTGGTGTGCTGAATTCTCTTAGCTTTTGCTTGTCTGTAAAGCTTTTGATTTCTCCATCGAATATGAATGAGATCCTTGCCCGGTAGATAATCTTGGTTGTAGGTTCTTCCCTTTCATCACTTTAAGTATATCATGCCACTCCCTTCTGGCTTGTAGAGTTTCTGCTGAGAAATCAGCTGTTAACCTTATGGGAGTTCCCTTGTGTGTTATTTGTCATTTTTCCCTTGCTGCTTTCAATAATTTTTCTTTGTCTTTAATTTTTGCCAATTTGATTACTATGTGTCTTGGCGTGTTTCTCCCTGGGTTTATCCTGTATGGGACTCTCTGCACTTCCTGGAGTTGGGTGGCTATTTCCTTTCCCATGTTAGGGAAGTTTTCGACTATAATCTCTTCAGATATTTTCTCGGGTCCTTTCTCTCTCTCTTCTTCTGGGACCCCCTATAATGCAAATATTGTTGCATTTAATGTTGTCCCAGAGGTCTCTTAGGCTATCTTCATCTCTTTTCATTCTTTTTTCTTTATTCTGTTCCATGGCGGTGAATTCTACCATTCTGTCTTCCAGGTCACTTATCCGGGGTTTTTTTTGGGTTTTTTTTTTTGTGGTATGCGGGCCTCTCACTGCTGTGGCCTCTCCCGTTGCGGACCACAGGCTCCGGACACGCAGGTTCAGCGGCCATGGCTCACAGGCCCAGCCGCTCTGTGGCATGTCGGATCCTCCTGGACCGGGGCATGAACCCCCGTCCCCTGCATCGGCAGGCGGACTCTCAACCACTGCACCACCAGGGAATCCCCACTTATCCATTATTCTGCCTCAGTTATTCTGCTATTGATTCCTTCTAGTGTATTTTTCATTTCGGTTATTGTACTGTTCATCTCTGTTTGTTTGTTCTTCAGTTCTTCTAGGTCTTTGTTAAACATTTCTTGCATCTTCTCGATCTTTGCCTCCATTCTTTTTCCGAGGTCCTGGATCATCTTCACTATCATTATTCTGAATTCTTTTTCTGGAAGGTTCCCTATCTCCACTTCATTTAGTTGTTTTTCTGGGGTTTATCTTGTCGCTTCATCTGGTACATAGCCCTCTGCCTTTCATCTTGTCTCTCTTTCTGTGAATGTGGTTTTTGTTCCACAGGCTGCAGGATTGTAGTTCTTGCTTCTGCTGTCTGCCCTCTGGTGGGTGAGGCTAAGAGGCCTGTGCAAGCTTCCTGATGGGAGGGACTGGTGGTGGGTAGAGCTGGCTGTTGCTCTGGTGGGCAGAGCTCAGTAAAACTTTAATCCGCTTGACTGCTGCTGGGTGGGGCTGGGTTCCCTCCCTGTTGGTTGTTTGGCCTGAGGTGGCCCAGCACTGGACTACCCGGCTCTTTGGTGGGGCTAATGGTGGACTCTGGGAGGGCTCACGCCAAGGAGTACTTCCCAGAAGTTCTGCTGCCAGTGTCCTTGTCCCCACGGTGAACCGCAGCCACACCCCGCCTCTGCAGGAGACCCTCCAACACTAGCAGGTAGGTCTGGTTCAGTCTCCTATGGGGTCCCTGCTCCTTCCCCTGGGTCCCGGTGCGCACACTGCTTTGTGTGTGCCCCCTGAGAGTGGAGTCTCTGTTTCCCCCAGTCCTGTCGAAGTCCTGCAATCAAATCCCGCTATCCTTCAAAGTCTGATTCTCTAGGAATTCCTCCTCCCATTGCCGGACCCCCAGGTTCAGAAGCCTGATGTGGGGCTCCAGTGGGTGGACTTCCATGGTATAAGTGTTCTCCAGTTTGTGAGTCACCCACACAGCAGTTATGGGATTTGATTTTATTGTGATTGCGCCCCTCCTACCGTCTCATTGCGGCTTCTCCTTTGTGTCTGGATGTGGGGCATCTTTTCTGGTGAGTCCCAGTGTCTTCCTGTCGATGATCGCTCAGCAGTTAGTTGTGATTCCAATGTTCTCACAAGAGGGAGTGAGCGCACGTCCTTCTACTCCGCCATCTAGGAAGGCTTTTTAAATGAAAATATCAAAACTCTTAACCATGCTAGACCCTGCTGCTAAGATGTGAGTGTGTCTGTGTCCAGGGATGCTTCCCGGGGGTGTGCGTGGGCCCTGCCCACCCACCCCCGGCCTCTAGATGCCCCTCCACAACGGGATTTGGTAAAAGAGAAAACAGTGACCGTTATTAAGTCTGTAAAGTATACTTTCTGAAACAAGAGCCACAGCAGAGCCTGGACCCGTGTCCCCCCAGTGCTCCTGCGATGCCTAGTCCGGTGCCCAGACTGAGCTGGCCTGGATCTCAGAGGCCCCATCCACGGGGAGGCACTGGGTTCCACTGGGTCCCAGCCCCCGTTTCTGCCTTCTTGCTGGATTTTCTTCCGGCCCCCGCCATGGCCAGGAAGGACCCCCAACCCTGCTCCGCAAAGCAGGACCGGCCCGCCCTCTAGTGGTGGTTGTCTGTACAACACACTCAGGCACACAAATGTGCACACGTTCACAGGCACATACACATGTGCGTGCACACATGGATACATACATACACGTGTGTGCATACTTGCACGCATGTATACATGTGCCTGTCACATACACGTGTGTGCACTAGTACACAAACATGCACGTGCATGCATACATGCATAACACACACCTGCATGTGTCCCCATGTTTCTCTCCATTGTCTTCTGAGGGCAGCAGCCCATGACGGCCCCGTGTAGAGGCTGTGATTCTATGATTAAGGAGACGAGAAAGACCGAGTGACTTCTGGCTGCAGTCAGTCACGTGACAACGGCGACACTTTTCTTCCTCTTCTCTGGTTAAGCCCCTCCCTTTGCTGTGGGCATGAATCCTCCTGTTTCCTGCTCAGCCCCGTTGCAGTGTCGGCTGGTCCCAGAGGCGAGGTTGGGGTGACGACCCTCCTCCCAGCCTTCCAGCCCTGGGCCTGCCTCCTTCCCGCCGGGCGGTGAGATGGACAGAGCCCAGACGGTGAGGCCACGGGGTCTCAGGGGAAGCCTCTCCAAGTGGAATCTCACCATCTGCTTGGAGCAAGGCCAGCATGGGGAAGGTGGTATCTCAGATGCCTCCAGCGGCCTGGGAAGGGTGAGCCCGAGGCCATTATGCGGTTCCTGGGTGACCACAGACTGGGCGCCATCAGACAACAGAATCGCATGCTCTCCCAGCTCTGGAGGCCAGAGATCCCAAACGCAGGCCGTGCTGGTTCCTTCTGGAGGGTCGTGGAACACCTCCTGTGCTTCTGCCAGCATCCTTCGCTTGTGGCCACTCCAGTCTCTGCCCCCATCTCGAGTGGCCACCTCCTCCCTGTGTCCTGTGCCCTCATCTCCTCTCCCCAGGACACCTGTCACTGGATTGGGGCCGCCCTAGCCCAGGTGGTCCCGTCTCGAGCCTTACCTTCACTTTATGTACAGAGGCCCTATTTCCATGTTCTGAGGCTCCTGATGGGACTTATATTTGGGTTTGTCTTTATTGCCCCCAAAGAATAACCTCTGTGATCCCTGCTGGCCGACGAGACCAGGGTGGGAACAGAGGTGGGCAGCCGAGGCCCCAGCAGCCAAGCGCCGTCCGTCTCAGGCCCGCCCGCCGTGGCCCATGCATGACCCGTTTAGGGTGAAGCTGCCCGCGCCGGACAGCGGGCTCCTGCGCTATGATCATGTGTGTTTTCTTCCCCGTGACAGCCCGCGCAAAGCAGGGCCTGGGTGGCAAAAGTGAATTTGTGGTCAGGTGGGAGATCCAGCCGGCTCCCTCCTGCTCTGCATCCCCAGCTCCCACCTCCAGATCCCCCAGGCTGGCTGGAGCCTTCCACGTCGGGGCTGGCAGAGCCTGTGCGTGCCCCGCGGTGGGACTCTGGGTGCCTCAGCCCTGCAAGGGCAGCCAGCCCTGAGGCGGTCTCCCTTCAACACTGACCCCTAGGAGCCCACTCGCCCATTCCGCCTGCTGAGCTCTGGAAACATCTCTGCTGCCAGACCTGTGGTATGGGTCAGCCCGAGGGGCATCCCTGATGCCCACCCCTGTCCTGTGCCCGGCTGCCCTGGGGCAGACCGATCCAAGCTGTGGCCCCGGCCTCGCTGAGCTGTGCCCACAGACAGTCACCGCCAGCGCCCAGGGAGGGCGGCATCGTCCCCGCCACCCACGGACAGCGTGCAGGCGTGTTGTAGACGCCGGGGAGACGGCACTGAGTGTGAAGTCCTGGGCTCTGGAGCCCTCCTCGTGGGGCAGGAGCCGGCGGAGGGCGGCCACGCTGACGCTGAGAAGTGAAGCAGAGTCTCGGGAGAGCGGGCAGCCGGCAGGGGGAGCGGCCGTGGGGCAGAGATTGTATTTTATTCAGGGAGGCAGGGAAGGCCTTGCTGATGGGGGCGAGCAGAGTGCTAGGGCAGGCGGAACAGCCCTGCACCGGCCCGGAGGGCACCGTGGCTTTGGGGGGCAGCAGGGAGGCCCCATGGGTGGCGGTGGAGGAGAAAGCATGCGGCCAGCGGGCCCCACCTGCCCCGGGACCGGTGGCCTGTAGGCCTCTGCTTCTGCCCAGGGAGCAGAGCCAGGGCAGGTCCTAGCAGAGGAGCCCTGGGACCCGCTCCGTGTTAGCCTACCAGCCGGGGGTGGGGCGGGCCCCTCTCAGCCCGCGTGTCTCTCCACGTGGCGAGAGGTGACGGGCAGCCACTGAGGGGGGCGTCGCGTGGCTCCATCGGCCTGGGTCCCCCCGTGTGCTTCGTGCACTGGGCCTGGACATTCACAGATGAACCTTTAAAAATACACAGTCGTGTTTAGGACTAATTTCTATTTGTGGAAGGTGATGCTCGTTTGCCATTTATAGCAGCGGCATAAACGCTTCTAAATGTGTTTATTGAAGTACAAGAAAGCCTTAGCTGTAAGGAATAATCTAAGACAGAACCGGACGGAGGGCATGGTGTCTGTCTACACTGTGGGGGCGACTCTGGCGAGGCTCGATGGCGGAGCCCTCACCACAACACCCCGACTGAGGCCACGACAGTCGGGCCCCGAGTCTGCCCTCAGGCCCCATCGGTGCCCCAGAGGGTCGGGACCAGGGGTGCTGGGAAAACGTCAGCAGAGTCCTGTTCTCTCCTGCATTAGGTGCCCGGTCGTCCCACTGTGCTTCCCGTGATGATGTCCCTCACAAAAAGAAAGACAGTAACAGGTGGGGCAGTCAGACCCCCTTCTGTGGCAGAGGACAGAAACCAGCTCCAACCGGATCAAACAAAAAAGAGGGATAACTGGCTCGTGTAATTGAACACAAAGGGTGCCTTCAGGCCTAGCTGGATCCGGGATGCTCTGGGCAGGACCCTCGCCGAGGGCACGTGGGGACCTGAGGTTTGGGTTCAGTTTGTCGGTCTACCCACCCTGGCACTGGTACTGTCCCCAGCCTGTCGCTGCCATGTCCCTGCTGAGGCAGCAGTGACCAGAGATGACCAGCCGCCTTTGATGGGAAAGAGGGAGGGGCACTTATTCCCTGCTGGGGTCCGGAGGCATAGCAGTCGCGAAGGAGGGACCCCTGCCCTGAGCGAGGTCCTGATGTCAAGGGCCTGATGGATGTCTGAGCATATGCACCTGTCCACACACGTGGAGGTGGATCCTGACCGTGCAACTGTCGGGGGGAAGCGGGTTAAGGATGGTGCTGCCGTGCCCTTGGGTACCTCGTGTGCCACATTCAGAAAGAGGCCTGCTGGCATCTTGGCTGACGTCGCTGCCTTGGCAACACGGAGCCGTCCGCATTCATCCGTCACAGAGGCGCCAACCCGCATCAGGAATCCCAGTGGCCACTCCAGCAGCCTCTGGTTTGCTGTGTGCCACTGGGGACATCGTGAGGCTCAGCGTCCCCACCTGTGAGATGGGGCAGGGCCACATCACCGAAAGAGTGAGCAGGAAGGGAAAGCACTTCCTAGCCTGGGACAGTCACCGTGCTTCTCCCCCTCACCTGCCCCAGCACCACCCCGACCCTGGGGACCCACATCGTGCCTGTCCCCGCTTCCCTGTCTGGTGAGCCCCACACTCTGCTTTCAAGAACTGGCTCTGATGGCACCTCCAGGGGAAGCCTGTCCCCGCTCCCTGAGTTCGTTTATCTCATGAACAGCTGAGAGGACCTCTCGCCACCTCACCGGGTGGTCGTGATCCCACCTAACAGAGGGAGGGAGGGGTCCCTGTAAATGAAGGATGGATGGATGGATAGATGGATGGAGGATGGATGGATGAGTAGTCGGGTAGGTAGATGGAGGACGGAGAGAGGAAGCAGGGAAGGAGGCAAGACTTTATCTTTTGTGGGAGAACTTTCAAGGTGTGACGTAGCACCCAAGCAAGTGTAAGCTGTTTCTTTGATTTTTTCATGTCTCCTTGGGCGCAGGTTCTAACCACGTTCACAAAAAACATCGTCAGCTGTTTAGACGTGCGCTCGGTTCATGTAACGAGCACGGACTGAGTGCGTTCTGTGTGCCGGCTCCAGGCTGGGCTTCCAGGGGCCCAGCCTGAGTGTGAGGCCGACCTCGGGGTGCTCTCCATCTCCGAGGAGAGTCAGGCCCATGTTTGCTGAGTGACTGTCAGAGGGGTTGATCCCAAGGACTGTGGGGCTGTGAGGAGGGCGGGTCCGTTCTGCGGTGGGGGAGGGGGTCCCCTGGAGGCGCCGTCACAGCCGGTTCTTGGCAGCGGGAACAGGGGCCCAGCACGAGGTGGGTCCCCAGGGTCTGGCCGGTGTCAGAGCAGGTGAGGGGGGAAGAGCAGTGACTGTCCTGGTCTTGGAACTGCTTTCCCGCTCGCTATTTCAGGCGCGTGGCCCTGCCCATCTCCCAGGTGGGGACCTGAGCCCAGCACGGCACTGGGGCCCCTCCCCTCTCGCCCCCACCTAGGAGCCTGTTCAGAGGCCCCTACGTGCTCTCGTAACTCTCCTCCTCCAGACGCTCCGTCCCTTGAAGGGGCGCCCCAGCTGTGGGCCAAGGAGCTGTTGCCGGCTCCTCTGAGAGGCTCACTCCTGGGGGAGGCCTCTTGGAATAAGAGCTGGGGCGGGGGGAGGGGAGTTAGCACCGCCACCCCCAGCTGCACGCCGGCCCTGGGCACGTGGACTGCGGCGCTGACAGAGGTGGAGGCCAGACATCCGTCTGGGTGGGAGACAGTGTGAGCCCCCCGAGCCACCTCCCAGCTCCGGTCCACACCCTCCACTCAGCCCTCACTCATCCTGTCACCTCTGGGCAGAACAGCCCACCACCTCCTGGAAGCCTCCCTGGTTTCCCCGGCCCTCATTCCCTGAGAAGTTTGTGGCATCACCATGAGGCCTGTCCGGGAGGTACCTGGTCTGTGATGCCTGATGTCAGAGCCCAGGGCCACCAAACGTCTTGTATTTTTTATTGAAGTACGGTTGATTTACAACGTTGTGTTAGTTTGAGGTGTGCAGCAAAGCAATTCAGTTATACATATATAAAGCCATATATTCTTTTTCATATCCTTTCCCATTATGGTTTATTACAGGATATCGAATACAATTCCCCGTGCCGCACAGTAGGAACTTGTTATCTATTTCATTTACAGTAGGGTGAATCTGTTAATCCCAAACTCCTGATTTATCCCTCCCCTCCCTTTCCCCTTTGGTGAGTTCGTTTTCTGTGTCTGTGAGTCTGTTTCTGTTTTGTAAATAAGTTCATTGGTACCTTCTTTTTTAGATTCCACATATGAGTGAGATCATATGATACTTGTCTTTCTCTGACTGACCTCACTCAGCATGATCACCTCTAGGCCCACCCGTGTTGCTGTAAATGGTATTATTTCGTTCTTGTTTATGGCTGAGTAGTATTCCATGTATATGTGCCACATCTTCTTTATCCATGCATCTGTCCGTGGACATTTCAGTTGCTTCCATGTCCGGGCTATTGTAAATAGAGCTGCAATGAACATTTTGGTACATGACTCTTTTTGGGTTATGGTTGTATCCGGGTATATGCCCAGGAGTGGGATTGCAGGATCATACAGTAACTCTATTTGTAGTTTTTTTAAGGAACCTCCGTACTGTTCTCCGTTGGCTGTACCAATTTACATTCTCACCAGCAGTGCAGGAGGGTTCCCTTTTCTCCACACCCTCTCCAGCATTTATTGTTTGTAGACTTTTTGATGATGGCCATTCTGACTGCTGTGAGGTGGTATCTGTTTGTAATTTTGATTTGCATTTCTCTAATAATTAGCGATGTTGAGCATCTTTTCACATGCCTCTTGGCCATTTATATGTCTTCTTTGGAGAAATGTCTATTTAGGTCTTCTGTGCATTTTTTGATTGCGTTGTTTGGTTTTTTGTTATTGAGTTGTGAGCTGTTTGTATATTTTGGAGATTAAGCCCTTGTCAGTTGGTCGCATCATTTGCAATTTTTTTTTTTTTTTTTTGTGGTTAGCAGGCTCCCTCTGTTGTGGCCTCTCCCGTTGCAGAGCACAGGCTCCAGACACGCAGGCTCGGCGGCCATGGCTCACGGGCCCAGCCACTCCACTGCATGTGGGATCTTCCCGGACCAGGGCATGAACCCGTGTCCCCCTGCATCGGCAGGCAGGCTCTCAACCACTGCGCCACCAGGGAAGCCCCATTTGCAAATATTTGCTGGCAGTCTGTAGGTTGTCTATTCATTTTGTTTATCATTTCCTTTGCTGTGCAAAAGCTAACATTTATTTTTGCTTTTATTTCTATTACCTGGGGGGACTGACCTAAGAAAACATTGCTACGATTTATGTCAGAGAATGCTTTGCCTATGTTCTCTTCTAGGAGTTTTATGGTGTCATGTCTAAGTCTTCAAGCCATCTTGAGTTTATTTATGTGTATGGTGTGAGAGAGAGTGTTCTAATTTCATTGATTTACGTGCGGCTGTCCTGCTTTCCCCACATGGGCTGTGGGTCTGGGAAGGAGAGAGAGAAATGGAGGGACTCACGGATGGATGGAGGAGTGGATGGAGGGAGGCTGGGAGGGAGGGAAAGAGAGTGGCAGTCTGTGACCGTCTGCTGTTTATAATTCCTTCCAGAGCCCCCTAGGGATCCTGAGCACATTTCCCTGAATCGTGGGGCTGAGAAGTGGGCTCTTCCCTGAACCTCTTAGGGGAGCGGGACTTGGGATCGTTCATTCCTTGGAGGCATTTCAGAAGGTCCCTTTCTGCCCTGGACCCCAGAACCCTCCCTCCCTAATGGTGCCAGTGAGAGGTGGGCTGTGGTCCCAGCAGAGAGCTGCCCACCAGGCTCGTCCTCACCTGTCACAGTTGGAAACACCTGCGGCCCTCTGCTCAGAACAGGGGTGTGGAAAGGCCCCCTCTGCTGACCTGGGGTTGCTGCACCAGTGGGTCCAGGTGGAGAAGGGCTGGGCGGCCCCTTCAGTGCCCAGTGAAATTCGCCGTCCCCATCAAGCATCATTTTGCCTTTTAAAATTCACAGCTGCATCTGACGCTAACCACTCCTCCCAGACTGTGTTCAGACACAGAGTACGCTGGTGTCCGTGTGCCTGCAGAGAGAGGGGAGAGGGCTTGACTCCCTTCTCCTGTTTGAATTTCTGGACTGAGGTTGAACTAGACACTGAGGATGCTAAAGAAATGAGGTCCCTGCAGACACACGTCTGGGGGTCGCCCCTCTTTCCAAACTGTCCACCCCTGGTCTGGCAGACCCAGCACAGCGTGCTGTGTGCTCCAGGCCCCCTTTTCCTTATTTCTACCGCGATCTACACCCGTGGAAGCCAGGCACTGAGGTGAAGGCAGAGACCTCACCACCCCACCGCAAGTGAGAACTTTCTTCTACCAGGTCACCTGCCGAGCGCCCTGCGGCCAGCGCCCCCGGGCAGGACGGGGACCCAGCTGAGTCCGTCCGGGGAATGTATTTCTTTAATGAAAGTATAAACAGCCTGTAAACTAAAACCCAAACTGATGCTGTCTTCCTCCCCCTCGTGCCCTTCTAGAAAGTTCAGCAGTACACAGTCATTGTTCAAGCGACAGACATGGAAGGAAACCTGAACTATGGCCTGTCCAACACGGCCACAGCCATCATCACGGTGACAGACGTGAACGACAACCCGCCAGAGTTCACTGCCAGCACGGTGAGTGCACGTCCCCTCGGAGACAGTTCCCGGGCATTCGGGTTGCTTCTCTCTCTGCTGCCACCTGATGGAAGGAGCTTGACAGACGAACAGACAGACAGGCTGTTAACAAAGGCCCCGAGCGGCGGGGGGCTGAGCGGGAGAGGAGCTCCCGGTGTCTGCAGGCCCCGATACTGACCACTGGCTGACACCTGGCGAGGCTCCCAGGACAGAGTGAGTTGGACACTCCTCCCGAATCCGGAGGAGTTGACCAGCGGTGTTTGGGCTCCAGGGTCAGCCAGTGTGGGGTGTGTGCATGGCTGCATGCGAGGCAGGACTGTCGGGGGGATGCCTGGGGACAGGGCAGGTCCCTGCGGCAGGACCGTAGCTGGCCCTCCACGGCCCACCATCAGCAGGGGGGCAGCGGGGCGTGGGGGACACATTGTACGCTCTGCGGGCTGTGACCAGCGGGCTGTGACCAGGCCATGTGCCAGGCTGCCCAGAACCTAAATGACCACAGGAACGCCCTAGCGGCAGAGCCGAGGGATCACAGAGCCATAAGTCACGCGCTCCCAGTTCCTCTGAATTCCAAAGGAGCTGCGTCTTTTGGGCCACGCCCCCCGGAGTGGGGTTGCTGACAGAAATGGGAACATATACCCACCCTGCGGGTGCCCGTCCAGAAATGCGGCAGATGCAGGGGGCCAGATGGCCAGAGGGGAGGGTCAGTGAGGACTCCCCGGGCAGTGCTGGGAGGTGGAGGCTGCGCCCTCCCCCCAGGGTGTCAGGGTTGCCTTCTCTGAGCCTCACTCCCGCGGCACCGAGTGGATGAGAGGGTAACAGCAATAACAGTAACAAAAGAACTGGAGCGCAAGCCAAGCTGTGGAGCGCCCCTCACCCTCGCTCCACCAGGCAGCAGCCTGGGCTTCCTGGTCAACCTCTGGGCCCCACCAGCCCCATGAGGCTCGGGACCCAGTTATGCAGGAGGATGCTGAGGCTCAGAGAGGCTAAGTCACTTGTCCAGAGCCACTCAGCCCACTAGTGGAGCAGCTGGGGCTGAGCCCAGGAAGCTGTGCTCTCATGCCACAGTGGAGGGGGTGGGGGGGACAGAGAGGAGACCCCTCATTCTCCCAGTGGGTGGGTCAGCTTGCCGTGAAGGCATCTCACAGGCCAGAGCCCCTCGCAGGGAGCCCCACCAGCGTCCCTGCGTGCCCTCATCCTGCTTCCCCACCCCCCCCACAGGCTCCAAATTCTGGAGTCCCCAAATCCCACATCCCTGCAGTAAGGCATCTCAGAGTCCTAGGCTCTGTGTCCGGCTGGACCAAGCCAGAGGAGGGCAGCCTCAGCCATGAGGGCACAGCGCCATCTGGTGGGCAGATGGCAGATCGCCCCACAGAGGGAGCCGCTCAGGTCTCTGCCCCCCGGTTAGGGTGGGGTGGCTTCCATTCTGTTTGCTCTCCACGGCCAGTGGGCAGTGGCAGGAAGGGCTCAGGAGCAGCGTCCCAGGGGGTCTGGACATGAGGAGAGCAGCTCATTGTTCGTTGCACTGAGGTCTGACGTGCCTACAGTATGAGGCACAAATCTTGAGTGAAACCTTCCCTCCGGCCAGCAGCAACCCAGGCCCATCGTCCAAGGTGAGCTTTACCTGTTCTAGGATGTCATGTAAACGGAGTCACACGGAACACACGATTCCCTGGAGCCTCCCACCTGGTGGCATAAGGCCTCTGGGGTCCTTCCTTGTTGTTGTATCAGTTCAGTCAGATAGGGCCCCGCCCATCTGGGTTTTTTCTGTTCTCAGCTTGGACCCTTTGGAACTAGGAACAAGTTTTCATTGCCTCACCCGGCTTCACTTAATCATTATCTATCTATCTCCTTTTTAAAAATTAACTTGAGTATTTGGTTAGGTAATTCACACACACGGTACAGTACCTTAAAAGGTATAAAATGACTTACTTTGAGGAGAAGCCCCTTGTGTTTTCACTTTGACCCTTGCGTTGTTTTTGGTTTTTCCGCTTATGATATGTCTTGAAGACCTTTCCATATCCACAGATTCCGAACGCCCTTGAAATTTTTTCAACATGTGTTTAGAAATAATTTCAGGCTCACAGAAAAGTTGCAAGAATAGAAACAGGGAAAAGAATAGCCTCACAGAGAGAAGACAAGATGGTGGAGTAGAAGGCCTTGCGCTCACCTAACACAAAAGCACCAAAATCACAACTAACTGCTGAACAGTCACTCATCAATAAAAAGGAAAGACTGGGGCTTCCCTGGTGGTGCAGTGGTTAAGAATCGCCTGCCAATGCAGGGGACACGGGTTCGAGCCCTGGTCTGGGAGGATCCCACGTGCCGCGGAGTGTGCCACAACTACTGAGCCCGCGTGCCTAGACCCCGTGCTCTGCAACAAGAGAAGCCACCACAATGAGAAGCCCACGCACCACAACAAAGAGTAGCCCCCACTCGCCACAACTAGAGGAAGCCCGCTCGCAGCAACGAAGACCCAACACAGCCAAAAATAAAATAAATAAATTTATTTTTAAAAACAAAAGATTATCAGCTGATTTTTTTCAGCAGAGACTATGCAGGCCAGAAGGGAGTGGCAGGATATATCTAAAGTGGTGAAAGGAAAAGACATACAACCAAGAATACTCTACGTAGCAAGGCTCTCATTCAGATTTGATGGAGAAATCAAAAGCTTTATAGACAAGCAAAAGCTAAAAGAATTTAGCACCACCAAACCAGCTTTACAACAGACACTGAAGGAACTTCTCTAAGTGGAAAAGAAAAGGCCACAACTAGAAACAAGAAAATGGGAAAGCTCACCAGTAAAGGCAAACGTACAGTAAAGGTAGGAGATCATCCACACAAGCATGGTATCAACACCAGCAATCGTGAGAGGAGGAGAGCACAAGTGCAGGACACTGGAAGTGTGTTTGAAATTAAGAGATCACAATTTAAAACAATCATATATTTATATACACTGCTGTATCAGAACCTCATGGTAACCACAAACCAAAAATCTATAATAGACGTACACACAAAAAAGAAAAAGGAATCCAAACACAACACTAAAGATAGTCGTCAAACCATAAGAAGAGAGAACAAAAGAGGAAAGGAAGAAGAAAGACCTACAGAAACGAACCCAAAACAATTAACAAAATGCCAGTAAGAACATACGTATCAATAATTACCTTAAATGGGGGCTTCCCTGGTGGTGCAGTGGTTGAGGGTCTGCCTGCCAATGCAGGGGACACAGGTTCGTGCCCCGGTCCAGGAGGATCCCACATGCCGCGGAGCGGCTGGGCCCGTGAGCCATGGCCACTGAGCCTGCGCGTCGGAGCCTGTGCTCCGCAACGAGAGAGGCCACAACAGTGAGAGGCCCGCGTACCGCAAAAAATAATAATAATAGTTACCTTAAATGTAAACGGGTTAAATGCTCCAACCAAAAGACGTGGACTGGCTGAATGGATAAAAAAACAAGACCCATATATATGTTGTCTACAAGAGACCCACTTCAGACCTAGAGACACATACAGACTGAAAGGGGGTGGAAAAAGGTATTCCATGCAAATGGAAATCAGAAGAAAGCTGGAGTAGCAATACTCATATCAGATAAAATAGACTTGAAAATAAAGACTACTACAAGAGACAAAGGAGGACACTACGTAATGATCAAGGGATCGATCCAAGAAGAAAATACAACAATTGTAAATATATATGCACCCAACACAGGAGCACCTCAATATATAAGGCAAATGTTAACAGATATAAAAGGAGAAATTGACAGTAAATAAATAATAGTGGGGGACTTCAGCGCCCCACTTACATCAATGGACAGATGATCCAGACAGAAAATCAGTGAGGAAACACAAGCCTTAAATGACACATTAGACCAGATGCACTTAACTGATATCTACAGAGCATTCTATCCGAAAGCAGCAGAATACACATTCTTTTCAAGTGCACACGGAACATTCTCCAGGATAGATCACCTGCTGGGCCACAAAGTGAGCCTCAGTAAATTTAGGAAAATTGAAATCATATCAAGCATCTTTTCCAGCCACAACACTATAAGGTTAGAAATCAACTACAAGAAAAAAAACTGCAAAAAAACACTAACACATGGAGGCTACGCAGTATGCTAGTGAACAACCAATGGATCACTGAAGAAATCAAAAAGGAAATCAAAAAATACCTAGAGACAAATGAAAACAAAAGCACTATGATCCAAAAGCTATGGAACGCAGCAAAAGCAGTTCTAAGAGGAAAGTTTATAGCGATACAAGCTTACCTCAGGAAAAAGAAAAATCTCAAACAACCTAACCTTACATTAAAGCAACTAAAAATGAACAAACAAAACCCAAAGTTAGTAGAAGGAAAGAAATCATAAAGATCAGAGCAGAAATAAATGAAATAGAGACTAAGAAAACCATCAAAAAAGATCAATTAAAATAAAAGCTGGTTCTTTGAAAAGATAAACAAAATTAATAAAACTTTAGCAAGACCCATCAAGAGAAAAAGGGAGAGGACTCAAATCAATAAAATTAGAAATGAAAAAGGAGACATTACAACTGACACCACAGAAATACAAAGAACCACAAGAGACTACTACAGGCAGCTATATGGCAATAAATTGGACAACCTAGAAGAAATGGACAAATTCTTGGAAAGGTACAATCTCCCAAAACTGAACCAGGAAGAAACAGAAAATATGAAAAGACCATTTAATTACAAGTACTGAAATTGAATCTGTGATTTTAAAACTCCCAACAAACAAAAGTCCAGGACCAGATGGTTTTACAGGTGAATTCTATCAAACATTTAGAAAAGAGTTAACACCTATCCTTCTGAAACTATTCCAAAAATTGCAGAAGGAACATTTCCAAACTCATTCTATGAGGCTACCATCACTCTGATACCAAACCAGACAAAAATACTTCAAAAAAAAAAAATTACAGGCCAATATCACTGATGAACACAGACGCAAATGTCCTCAACAAAACACTAGCAACCGAATCCAACGATACATTAAAAGGATCATACACCACGATCAAGTGGGATCCGTCCCAGGGATGCAAGGATTTTTCAGTATCTGCAAATCAATCAGTGTGATGCACCACATTAACAAATGGAAGAATAAAAACCATACGATCGTCTCAGTAGATGCAGAAAAAACTTCTGATAAAATTCAATACCCATTTATGACAAAACAAAAATACTGTCCAGAAAGTAGGCAAAGAGGGAACCTACCTCAACATAATAAAGGCCATATATGACAAACCCACAGATAACATCATACTCAATGGTGAAAAGCTGAAAGTATTTCCTCTAAGATCAAGAACAAGACAAGGGGACTTCCCTGGTGGCACAGTGGTTAAGAATCCACCAATGCGGGGGACACGGGTTCAAGCCCTGGTCTGGGAATATCCCATATGCTGCGGAGCAACTAAGCCTGTGTGCCACAACTACTGAAGCCCATGCGCCTAGAGCCTGTGCTCTGCAGCAAGAGGAATCACCGCAACGAGAAGCCCGTGCACCACAGCAAGAGTAGTCCCTGCTCGCCTCAACTAGAGAAAGCCCACGCACAGCAACAAAGACCCAATGCAGCCAAAAATAAAATAAAAATAAATAAATTTTAAAAGAACAAGACAAGATTGTCCACTCTTGCCACTTTTATTCAGCATAGTTTTGGAAGTCCTAGCCACAGCAATTGGAAAAGAAAAAGAAATAAAAGGGATCCAAACTGGAAAAGAAGAAGCAAAACTGTCACCATTTTCAGATGACATTACACTGTACATTCATTGAGAATCCTAAAGATGCTACCAGAAAACTACTAGAGCTCATCAGTGAATCTGGTAAAGTTGCAGGATACAAAATTAATACACAGAAATCTGTTGTATTTCTATACACTAACAACAGAAGATCAGAAAGGGAAATTAAGGAAACAGTCCCATTTACCATGGCATCAAAAAGAATAAAATACCCAGGAATGACCCTACCTAAGGAGAAAAAAAGAAAAACCTGTACTCCAAAAACTGTAAGATGCTGATGAAAGAAACTGAAGATGACATAAACAGATGGAAGCATATACCAAGTTCTTGGATTGGGAGAATCAATATTGTCAAAATGACTATACTACCCAAGGTAATCTACAGACTGAGTGAAATCCCTATCAAATTACCTACGGTATTTTTCACAGAACTAGAACAAAAAGTTTTAAAATTTGTATGAAAACACAGAAGACCCCAAATAGCCAAAGCAATCTTGAGAAGGAAAAACAGAGCTGGAGGAATCAGGCTCCCTGACTGACTTCACACTATACTACAAAGCTACAGTAATCAAAACAGCATGGTACTTGCACAAAAACAGAAATGTAGATCAATGGAACAGGATAGAAAGCCCACAGATAAACCCACACACCTATGGTCAATTAATCTATGACAAAGGAGGCAAGAATATACAATGGAGAAAAGACAGTCTCTTCAATAAGTAGTGCTGGGGAAACTGTACAGCTACATGTAAAAGAATGAAATTAGAACATTCTCTAACACCATACAAAAAATAAATTCAAAATGGATTAAAGACTTCAACATACGACCGGATACTATAAAACTCCTAGAGGAAAACACAGGGAGGACACCCTTTGACATATCACAGCAATACATCTTTGGATCCATCTTCCAGAGTAATGAAAACAAAAACAAAAATAAACACATGGGACCTAATTAAACTTAAGAGCTTTTGCGTAGCAAAGGAAACCATAAAGAAAACGAAAAGACAACCTATGGAATGGGAGAAAATATTTTCAAATGAAGCGACTGACAAGGGATTCATCTCCAAAATATACAAACAGCTCATGCAGCTCAATATCAAGAAAACCCAATCAAAAAATAGGCAGAAGACCTAAGTAGAAATTTCTCCAAAGGAGACATACAGATGGCAAAAAGGCACGTGAAAAGATGTTCAACATCACTAATTAGAGAAATGCAAATCAAAACTGCAATGAAGTATCACCTCACACCAGTTAGAATGGAAATCACCAGAAAATCTACAAACAACAAATGCTGGAGAGGGTGTGGAGAAAAGGGAACCCTCTTGCACTGTTGGTGGGAAGGTAAATTGGTGCAGCCACTATGGAGAACAGTATGGAGGTTCCTTAAAAAACTGAATATAGAACTACCATACGACCCAGCAGTCCCACTCCTGGGCATTTATCTGGAGAAAACCATAATTTGAAAAGATACATGCACCCTAGTGCTCACTGCAGCACCACTTACAATAGCCAAGACATGGAAGCAACCTAATGTCCATCAACAGATGAGTAGATAAAGAAGATGTGGTCCATACAGACAACGGAATGTTACTCAGCCATAAAAAAGAATGAAATAACGCCATTTGCAGCAACATGGATGGACCTGGAGATGATCATGCTGAGTGAAGTCAGACAGAGAGAGACAAACATCATCATATCTCACTTACATGTGGAAACTAAAAGAATGATACAAATGAACTTATTTACAAAACAGAAACAGACTCGTAGACATAGAAAACAAACTTATGGTTACCAAAGGGCCAGGGGATAATTTAGGAGGTTGGGATTAACATATACACACGACTATATATAAAATAGATAAAGAACAAGCACCTACTGTATAACACAGGGAACTCTACTCAATATTTTCTAATAACCTGTATGGGGAAAGAATCTGAAAAGGAATATACATATATATGTGTATAACTGAGTCACTTTGCTCTACACCTGAAACTAACACACATTGTAAATCAGCTGTGCTCCAGTTAAAGCAAACAAAAGGGAGAGCCGCGCACACCGACCCTGTCGGCGCCATGCCACATGTGCCCGCTTCTCCCTGTAGGTGCGCCCACACAATTCTTTCTGAGCTGCTTGGGAATCAGTAGTATGCGTGATGCCCTCACATCTAAAGGCTTCTGAGTGTATTTCCTCAGAAGAGGGTTTTCTCCGTCAGGAAAACAGCTGCTATCCCTTTTTCCACCAGAGACAGACACCTGAGGCCCAGAGGGGTAATTCGGGCTACCCGAGGTCACACAGTGAGACAGAGTCCAACCCACATCTCCTGCTTCCGCGGGCCCACCTTCGCACCACACCTCTGTCCTTCGAGACCCCAAGTGTGTCTCCCGTCCCCTTATGAGATGGAGCAGCGCTGCCTTCCCGGGTTTCCGCAGCTCCAGAGAGGGGCCCCGAGGCTGCCCTCACAGCCGAGCTCCCGCAGGGCACGTCCGCAGGGGACCACTTCTGCCCACTGTTCCGAGCCCTGATCTGGCTTTGACGAGCCCTGGTCAGCCCTGACCTGACCCTTGTGTGGCTCCTCTGCTTCTAGCCTGAACCTCGTCTGCCCTTCTGCACGCCAGCCGCCCTGCAAACGCCCGCTGATCCCCTAGAAAGGCCGGGTCCTAGATGGCCTGTGAGGAAGCGATGGGGCAGAGAAAAGGAGGGGGCGGTGCACCTTCCTGACCTGTTTGCTCTGGGGTGTCCACACGAGGGGAGGGGAGATGATCAACAAGATACCCCCGGATCCGCACACGTGCCTGAAAAAGGGGCAGCCCGGGAATTACACTGAGACCCAGGAGGGAGTTTTGCATGTGACCCAAGGAGGTGCCTTGGGGCACATCGCAGGGGAAAGTTCCTGCCTGCACGCCTGGATGAAGGAAAGGTGGGCACAGCCTGGTTCCCGGGACTGTTCCTCAGGAGGATGCTCCTCCGGGCTTTCGGAACGGCTGCCTCTTCCCAGAGTCGCCCCTGCCCCTCCTCCACCCCAGTCGGCCTCAGCCAGGCCCGGGCCCTGGAGGCCAGGAGAGCACATAGAGGCCCAGCCTGCTTACTGTCGGGGCTGTGGGCCGGCGGCGTGGATGTGTGTGGATTGGCTAATGTCCCGGGGTCACACGTTATGACATGGCCCCTCGGGACGGGTGGAAGGCAGGGCCCCAGGACACCGTCTGCTGGGCTCAGTGGGGGCAGGCGGGCGAAGGCCCAGGGCTGGCTGCACCCCCTGCACAGCCAGGCTAATTTTATCGAGCTTAATCAAGAGCCATCAGCAGAAGCTGAAGAGGTGGGGGTGGGGACTTGCATGATCCAATTCCTGTTCTGAAATGTTAATTAGACGTCGTTTTCCCTTCGCCTGCTCCGAGCCTGCGCTCCGCTTGCTGCCACTGCGAGGCTGTCCCTCAGCACCCCTGCAGGGTGAGGCGGGTCCACTGGGGTAGGGCCGAGGCCCCCAGGACACAGCCGCAGACCCGACCCAAGGGCCTCCCTCTGCCTCATCCTCAGGTCCTGGAGCAAAGCCCTGAGACCCAGCCACACACAGGCCCACGGGAGGGTGTCCTGGAGTCGGGAAGCCCCCTTCTGCCCCCCCCAACCCCCGGGTCCCTCCTAGCTTTGTGCCCTTAGGCTGATAGATAGTCAGACCTCTCTGAGCGTCAGAACGTTTTCCCCTCTTGACGCGTAAGTGTTACATGGCTCAAGGTGAAGCTGGGAGCATCCGCTCATCTACAGGGAAGTTTGTTCTCTGCCCTAAAAACGCCGCGGGTGGTACCTGACCCCCATCACAGGGGCACCGACTGGGCGGCGGAGCAGACAGGGTCCCGGCTCTGCCTTCAGTGGGTGAGGGGTTCACGGTGGAGGCACCAAAACATTCATTCCAAGTCCAGTTTCCTCATCTGTTAAGAAAGGGAGGATGGGAGTCCTTAAGGTACATCGCGCTACAGCTCAAGACTGTATGTGATAGGACATATTTGTCTTTACTGTATATTTGATTGGATGACCTATTCCCCATTCCAAGGCAAGCATGAATAAAATTAAGCTAAATGTTAAAAAAAATAAACGGGGGGGTGAGATCATGGTGGGTCCCCTCCCAGGGTCCTCTGAAGACAGAAAAGAGGGCGACAAGCACCCAGTAGCCCTTCTTTCTGGAAAGGGGGCGACCAAGCCCGTCTGTGAACCGAAAAGCCGGGGAGGTGCTTCAGGGTCCTCTCCCTGAGCTGGCGTCCCAAGGGCCACGTCCCGGGCGTCACTCACCTGTTCTCACAGCAGCACCGCAAGGAGGGGACAAGGCTCCAGAGTCACCACCCGGGCCCCGGGCCCCAGGCTTCTCCCTGTGGGTGGAGGAGAATGGATGTCAGCCGCCAGGTCCCCCGTTACGAGCCACTGGTCCCACCCGTCAGATTCTGATTCCAAACTCAGAAGCCGACAGAAATCGTCACCGTTTTACTGGAGAGGAAACTAAATCTCAAAAGTTAAAATCGCCGGAACGTTGTGCCACTACCACCTCCTGCTCCCCTGCACCAGTGCCGCGGCGCGCATCCCTGGGCCGGAGCCCCCGGGGCCTGGCGCTGCGGAAAGATAAAAAGAAGAGAGCAGGAGCTCGGAAGTGCTGTGGGCTGTGAGGGAGAGAAGGAGGGGAGGCTTGGAAATTCTCACTGCAAATGATAAAGAAACTAAAAACAAAACAAAAAGTAAAACCGTAGGAATGTCAGAGGAGAATACACGTTTTCCAACAGAAGCCAACGCAGCCCCGGGGCTTCCAGGGCAATCCCTGAGTTCCTGGCTCAGGAGAGGACTGGGTGGGGGACACCCCCCTCGCATAACACCCACGGTCATACCAGAGTCCAGGGACCAGAGAGAAGGCAGCTGGGGGAGGGTCAGGTCCTCAGGCCTGAGCCGCGCTAGGACCAGTGATGGTTCGAATACTGGGGCCAGAAACAAAAGCATCATCTCAGGGAGTTTGGCATCCCCAATGGAGCAGGTGCCCTGGTGGTCCCCAGGTCTGTGGGGACAGGCTCTGCCATCCTCCATCCTCTCGGCCTGGCTGAGGGGGTCTTCCCTAAATCCTGGCTGGGCTTCACTGTTCCCACCCAAATCCTCCACTCTGCTAACGTGACCCTCCCCTGGGAGCCCCACAGATTTGTGCGGAGGAGCTGGGGTTGTGCTGGAAGGCCCAGGCACGAATAGGAAATGCACCCTGCGTCTCGAGATGGGGGTGCATTTGAATTCTGGGTTACAGCTATGCAAGAAATTCCAACACTCTTCAAATTCTTCCTTTCCCAAGTATCCGCCTTTACACCCCACGGGGCATGGGAGAGGCTTTCCCTGTGCCTGAAAACCCAAAAACTTAAATTTAAAATTCATTACGGCTAGGGGAAGGTTAATAAGAAAATCCTAAGCCAGACTTCCCAGCTTAAGGCACTTCTTTGTGAACCTTTATTAAACTTGCATTAATTAAAATAGACTTTTCAAATAAACTTCACCCGGAAGTCTGGAAGGAACTGGTCTCCGGGACACGCAGCTCTCCCCATGCCGTGAAACCACAGGCCCGTATTCTCGGGGGACCAGAGCAGAGTGGGTGGAGGCGCCCAACAGGGCCCGCCCCCGTGGGGTGCACTGAAACTGGGCTGTGGCGGGGGGGGGGGCTGTCAGGTGATGGCACCAGAACCCACCCTGATTAAGACAGTAGCTGCCAAAGCACATGAGTGGCCACAAACTCCGAGAGCCGGGTGCATCCGGTCGGGGGGCTCCGCCGGGGGTACCCCCACCTTCCACTGCCACGGGGCGCGGAGGCCTCAGCTCCCATCTCCGTCGCTGGACACGGTGCCGCCGCCCACCTTCTGCCACTGCAGGCGCCAAAGCACAAGGTCTCTCTGCCTCTCTTCTGAATCCAACTCATGAAGGTGTGTCCCACTGGCAGGTTCTAGATCACCTGACCAGGTCGTGGCAGTAGAGGAGGGCGAGAAAGCACGGTTCTGGAAAATAAAGAAGGGAATTCAGAAGGTGCTGGAGAGCCAAACAGCCTACTGATGTCCACTACACTGACCCTGGCAACTGAAACAAGAAGAGAATCTCCTCATCTCGCAGAAGCTGCATTGTCTCCAGCATGGCTGGGTCCAGGCTCCCGCAGTCACTCGGCGGTTTCCCTGAGCGGTGCTTTCTCTGGGCTGTGCCAAGGTCTCTTAACCTCTCTTGCTTCTGCTTCTTCATCTGCAAAATGGGGATAAGAATGGGGTTCTCCTGAGGAACCAGCAGAATGACGCAAGGGCGGTACCTGGCACAGAGCGCGCACTCGGTAACCATCGTGAGGGCTGCGGTGCTGTGAGCACAACGGGAAATCCCCAGGTATTTGTGCAAACTTTGTCTCCAGGTTTTGTGGCTCAAAAGCACACTGCACTGTGACAGAATGGCCACACGATTTGCATGGCCCAGTGCCAAATAAGAACGCAGGGCCCTCATTCACAAAGTATGAAGAATTTCAAGACTGTGACCGCACAGCGGTAAACCGAGCTCGGGGCTCTTCTGAGCTGGGCCACAGCTGCACAGCACTGACTCGCCTGCTGAGAGGTGCTCAGATTTCCATCACCACCTCGACACCAGCACCAACACGCCCCGCCACGCACACAGTCTTTGCCTGCCCGTAACTACTGCGGCCACGTGAACCCCACTCACCGATGGGCGTGGTTTGCAGCCCTCACTGCTGCGGCAGGAAAGAAAGGGTTGAGGCTCTGTGTCTGGTCATCTGCACATCTGCAGCTGCTGACCCCAGGCCCCAAGCCCGTGTCGGGGACCACCGGCACGGCAGGAGCCCAGAGATGGTTCAGCTCGGGAAGCCCTCTGCAGCTGCGTCCCCACCCCTCTTCGTTTCCCATTTTGTAAGCACATTTTTATAGTCTCTTGCAAGCCCCAGGTATTTGCATTGGTCCCCTGCTGCCTATGGGAAGGGCTTGAAGGGGATTTAGGAGGGGGGCCTGGCATGCGTGCATGCGTGCGTGCGTGCACAGGCAGGGATTAGTTTGGAGGTGGGTACGTGCAGATGAGCCTCGGGCTTTGCTGGGCCTCAGCTGGAGGAAGCAGAGCCCTCTCTAGACTCCACCTCGTCGGCACGGACATGGGATGGGCCAACCTGTGGGAGTCCCCGTGTCTGGGAGCAGCTGGAAGCAGAGGCCCCCCCCAGGGTCAGCAGAGAACCTCTCCAGCCTCTCCAGGCTTCCACACGGGTTCGTAATGTTGTCTTTTCTTACACTTCGCAGTACGCAGGGGAAGTCCCCGAAAACCGGGTGGAGATGGTGGTCGCAAACCTCACTGTGATGGACCGAGATCAGCCCCACTCCCCGAACTGGAACGCTGTCTACCGCATCATCAGCGGGGACCCCTCGGGCCACTTCAGCGTCCGCACGGACCCCGTCACCAACGAGGGCATGGTCACCGTGGTGAAGGTGGGTGCTCACCTCGCCTCCTGCTGGGCTCCCCGAGCTCCGCCCCCGCCACGTGCCCTGAGGCAGACGTAACAAGAGTGATATTCGGGTTCAGTGCGTGCCACCCCAGTGTCCAAGGGCAAAGGACTGCGCCCGACCTGCCAGGGGCAGAGGCAGCCTCAGCAGGACCAGTCACGTGACCCCAGGGACTCTGCAGGCCTGACCTGCCACCCACCCCCCAAAAGATAACTCTCCCATCTCCTCCCTCGCACCTGGCCCTCAGCTTCTGAAGCTCAGAGGCCAAGAATCAGCCTCTTCTGCCTCCCGGCCGGGCGGCGACAAGGCTTTGCCCGAGGCAGTGAGTGAGCGGTGCCCCAGGTGCCCGGAGGGTCAGGGTGGCAGGAACAGCGGGAGCAGGCCAGTTCGGGGGTCGCGGTAGCCTCTGCAGCTCCCAGCAAGGCTCAGCGAAAACACTTCACCCCCAAGCCTCCCCCACGTGCACTGGTGCGCCCCCGGCCCTGCCCCACGAGCCTGCACCCACGCTGGGCTGCTCCCCTCAGGGTGCAGACCCGGCCCCTGGGCTTTGAGCGAAGGGTCATGGCCATACGTGGGGGAGGCAGCTGAGCGGAGGCCCAGTGAGGCTGTCTGGCCTCTGATTGAAACTGTTGGAGCAAATTACTCACTGATTTCTCTGTTACCAATATGTTTTGTTTTGCCCTCCAACAGACTTCCGTTGGCCATAATCTTCCTGGAAGGTGTCCTCACTCAGACTGGCGACACAATTTTTAATGCATGACACGTAGCATTATTCCCTGTCCTCCAGGGACACGAATGGATAAATATGGGAGAAGGACCACTTCCTTTAGTGACTTCTTCAGAGGCACAAGCACTGTGATTTTGTGAAGCAGTATATTTAAGTGGAGTCGCCCCCATCCCCCGCCAGCACTCGGAGCCCTGGGGGAGGGGCTGGAGGCCTGGCAGCTGCTTACTTCTCGGCGCGGGGTGGGCGGCGGGGCCTCAGCCACGAAGAGGCAAGCGCCAGGGAGGGCCGTGGCTTCTCACCGGGGCTCCGGGGGCTCTGCAGGTAACACCCACTCCTCAGCAGGTGAGGAGGCCACGAAAGTGTCGGCCCGGAACCCCGATCTCTGCTGCCACCTCCAGGCCTTCCCGTCGGGCAGGCACTGCACCTTCGGGAGCCTCGTCTCCGTCCCCTTTCCACGCCCACTCAGCACCGTTACTTACTTTATAGTAAACTCTTCTCGTGCTCAATACCTTACTTAGTAGCAGGAGCTGAGAAGGCATGGGTTTGATGCACCAGGTGTATGACGGTAAGTATTCACAAAAATCAAGGCTGAGCTGCAGTGGGAGCCCAGCGATGGGGCAGGGCTGGGCCAGAGGAGCGGAGGCGCCTCCCGGCCAGGCGAGCAGCAGGCAGGGCAGCACGGCCCCATCACCAGCACCCCCAGGGCTCGCAGGACAACTGGTCCCACGAGGCGATCAGTTCCCCTCTGAGCAGAAATGTGTCACACCATTTATCACAAATGTTTCCAAGCACACCTAGAAGTAAGAGAGACGGGTGTACCCTCACCTGCCACTTCAGTTTCACAGTTACTAGCGTGCTGCCATGTCGCTCCATCCATGTTTTGCTGCAGTGTGCTTGTAACTCCAGGACCTCTGCTCACATAGCTACAACCGTTCCAGCACCTGAGACAGACAGCCACGCCTCCGTGATCTCCAATATGAGTCTACTTTTTTTTTTTTTTTTTTCGGTACACGGGCCTCTCACTGCTGTGGCCTCTCCCGTTGCGGAGCACAGGCTCCGGACGCGCAGGCTCAGCGGCCATGGATCACAGGCCCAGCCGCTCCGCAGCATGTGGGATCTTCCCGGACCGGGGCACGAACCCGCGTCCCCTGCATCAGCAGGCAGACTCTCAACCACTGCGCCACCAGGGAAGCCCTGAGTCTACATTTAATTGCCCTTAATTTTCCAGGTGTCTCTTTATGGTATGGTTTTTCAAATCTGGATCCAACCAGGGTCCCCACGTTGCATTCGGTTGTGCCATCTCTTGAATCTCTCATAATCTAGAATATTCCCCCACCTCTGACCTGTCACAAACGCAGGGTCCGCGGTGCTGAATCTGTCCTATCGCTTCCTCTCGGTGTATCTGGTCTCTTGCTCTCTGCTCTTCCTGTAACCAGGGCTGCAGACCTGAAGGGCCCTTCCGCGGTGAGAAGTCTGGTTGTCCCGTGCACAGCCATCTGAGCCTGACCAGTGGGCTCCGGTGCTGACAGGCCGCTCCCATCACCGTGGAGTTGGCTCCTCCCCGTTATGACCGGCAAGCAGTCTGCAAAAACACAACTCTCCACCAGCCCCCATCTGTTGGTTTCATCATGTCGATGGTCATTGCCAAGTTCATTTCTTCATTAGGCGGTATAAAATGGTGCTTTACAATCCTATCATTCCTTGTACAGTCCTCGGCTAGAATCCTTCTATATAAAAGAGCCCTGTGATGATGCTGAAATGCAGGCCTGCAGCTGTCAGAACAACGCCCACGCAAAGATGCCCACCCAGGTCCCAGTCTCCCAAATCTGTGCATATGTGGCAAAGGGCACTTTGCAGATGTGAAGAAGTTAAGGATCTTGAGATGGGAGGTTGCCCTGGATAGTCCTGGGGGGCCCCCAAGTAATCGCGGGGCCCTTAGAAGAGTGACGCACGAGGACCAGAGTCAGAGGAGACCTGAGGATGCAGCAGAGGTCTGAGAGAGACAGACTGGAAGGTGCCGCGTTGCCGCTCTGAAGACGGAGGGAGGGGCCAAGAGCACAGGCGCCTCTCGGACGGAGCCAGAAAAGGCGTCCAGGAGCCTTCAGAAGCAGCCAGCCCTGCCCACACCCCGACCGTAGCCCAGCAGCACAGACTTTTGGCTTCTGGCCCCCAGAACTGTAAGATAACAAATCCGTGTTGTTTTAAGCCACTACATAGGAACGTGAAATTAACGCAGCTCAGCAGAAAAGGCGAGAACGAGGCTTCATTCTCCACCCATACTTCCGATTCTCAGAGCAGAACTGGTGAGCCAGCAACAGGCATTGTCACCACCTGCATCCAGGTGTTACGGCTGCCGTAACAATTGTGTAACACGACACGCGTTTACCCTCGCGCTTTTCTGGAGGTCAGGAGCCCGGAACGACCCTGTGACGGCACGTAGGGCCCACCTGGGTTATCCAGGACCACCTCCCAGCTCAAGACCCTTACCTTCATCGTGCCTGCAAAGTCCCCTTTTGCCAGGGAAGGTGACTATCCACAGATTCCAGAGATGAGGACCTGGGTAAATCCAAAAGCAGTCGGTGAGCTTGCGGTTTTCACTTTCTCGTCACAGCTAAGGCGGTGCAGGTCTGTGCGCCCGGCGTGCTGTGCTCAGCTGCACCTGGTGCGGGTCTTGACCTCTGGCTGGGGGGCTCCTCCGGCAGCTGGTTCTGGGTGCTTCTGCTACATCCTTGTGTTGGGACCTGAGTGCACAGCCCAGGTTCGTCTTGCTGATTTCTTGCCTCACATCTGGACGGGCCATTCCTCTAGCGAGGAGTGGTACTTAGAAACCAACGTCCAGACGCGAGAGGTGCTCACTGTGGCTGCTGCCATCGCTACTGGACGTTGTCAGGGCAGAGCGAAGAAGTGACACTTCAGTGCATGTGCTTCCTGACCACCTCAAAGTTACTTCACCGATTCACATGATCATTTCATCCAAATTGAACACTGGAGGGTTTTACTTACCTTTGTTGATTTTATACTTGATCTCGTTTCTCTTACACTGAAAATCTTGGTTCCTAACAACAGTAAGATAATTGCTGATTTACTTTAACCTACAGTATACAATCACCCCTCGGTATCCACGGGGGATTGGTTCCGGGACACACACCCCCACAGGTAGGTACCAAAATCCACAGATGCTCAAGTCCCTTATACAAAATGGCATAGTATCAGGTTGGCCAAAAAAGTTCGTTCGGGTTTTTCCATGAGAACTTTTTGGCCAACTGAATATTTGCCTATAACCTACACACACTCTCCCGTGTAATTTATACCTAATACATGTCAGTGCTGTGTAAATTGTTGCCTGTGTGAGGCAAATTCAGGTTTTAAATTTCTGAAATTTTTTTCAAATGTATTCAATCTGTGGTTGGTTAAATCCACGGATGTGGAACCCATGGATATAGAGAGCCAATTATACATAAAAAGCTTAAAAAATAACAAATCCAAAATCCCTGCCAACAGCAAGCAGACCAAATGAATTTAAGATTTCTTTGCAATAACTCTTGTCCTTAGAATAAATCCCATGAAGGACTTACCGTCTAAATGCTGTCCCAGTCACGAGAAATCATTATTTTCTTGGGAGTTATATTACCATCGATATATAGTTAGTTTAATTTAACTCAGTTTGTTTCTGATTTTCAGAGATTGCTTTATATATACAAGTTTACTTGTAATACCTAAAATGTGAGAATGTAAGATTTTACATGGCTCTAAAATCAAAGCTATGTGGCAAAACATACACAGCAAACTCACACCTCCAGACGTTCCCTCCACCCTTATTCCTTCCCTCTGCTCACGGGTGACTGTTTTATGAGTTTTTGGTTTATCCTTTCAGCATTTCTTTTTGCAAATTTGAGCAGATACATATGCAAATTCATGTTCCTCTCCCCCTTTCACACAAGAGGCAGCCTGCAATGGATGTTGCCTTTTCTGCTCACCAGTCGATCCTGGAGATCTCTCCGTTCCCACGTGTATCTTCCTGGTTCTTTCTTACAGCTGCAAATGTCCCCACTGTGCGGATGCAGCCCATCCACCCAGCCAATGCTATGGGTGCCTGAGTTGACAGCAGTATATCTCCTCTATGAATGATACAGATGATACCTCAGTGAATATCCTTGGGCACGTGATCTTCGCATGTGTCTAAGCAGAACTGTTCAAATGCAGTTGCAGTGTGCTGTGTTGCTTGTTTTCTAGTGAGACTGTTGCAAGCTTTGCCAGGAATAATTACACATCTCGGGGCCCCAAGTGCTTCCGTACAGCTTCCATCCCCCCTCAAAATGTGAAGAATACCCCCAGAGACTGATCGTACCCCATAGACCCTATAACTATAGACAATAGAACCATACTAGCATTTATCAGCCAGGATCCTGACACCCCCAAAATGTGTGTCAACTGGAGAGAATGGTCATGCAAGGGCCATGCACAGAGGTGAGGGGGCTCCGTGAGACCTGGTGTGTTGGTGTCCTGGGGCTGCTGTAGCAACTTACCACAGACCAGGTGGGTTAGAACAACTGAAGGATGCTCTCTCACAGCTCTGGAGGCCAGACATCCAAAAGCAAGGCATTGGGGGGGGGGGGGGGCGTGCTCCCTCTGGAGGTTCTGGGAGGATCCCTCCTGCCCCGTCCAGTTTCTGGGGGTTGCTGGCCATCCCTGGCTCGGAGCTGCATCACCCCAGCCTGTGCCTGTCTTCACCTGGCCCCTTTCTGTGCCTCCAGTCTCCCTCCCCTAACTCATAGGGCACCCAAGCTTGAATCGGGGGCCACCTCAATCCAGGGTGACTCCCTCTCAAGACCTTTAACTTCATTACATCTACAAAAACCCTATTTGCCAAAGGTCACAGTCACAGGTCCCAGAGGGACGTATCCTTGGAGGCCACCCTTCCACCCACCACACCTGGTGAGGCACCCTGGATGGACAAGAGCCAGGGCCTCGACCTGCCAGGCTGCAGGGAGCAGGGTGGGGCCCCCGCACTCCCAATGCTTGATGAGTGCCAGAGCCGCTGGCTAGGAGGTGTGCCTGGCAGGAGCCGTATCCCCCGAGGAGCCCAGCTACTGCCACTCCATGACGTGGGAAGCTGGGGGACGGCACCCCTCGGGACTGACCTCCTGGGCCCAGAGCAGGGCGGGTGCAGACCAAGCAGCCCCATGGGCACCACCCTCCCTGACAGCCTCGCGGGCACCTAAGCCAGCTCCCCGTCCCGGCACCTCTCATTCCAGGCGGTCGACTATGAGCTGAACAGAGCGTTCATGCTGACCGTGATGGTGTCCAACCAGGCGCCCCTGGCCAGCGGGATCCAGATGTCCTTCCAGTCCACGGCAGGGGTGACCATCTCAGTCATGGACATCAACGAGGCCCCCTACTTCCCCTCGAACCACAAGCTGATCCGCCTGGAGGAGGGCGTGCCCACCGGCACCGTGCTAACCACATTTTCAGCAGTGGACCCTGACCGGTTCATGCAGCAGGCCGTGAGGTGGGCCCACAGAGCACCCTCGGGCCCTGGGAAAGGGGAGCCCCGTCTTCCATAGAGAAGAGTCCTGAATGCCCAGTGAAACCTGCAACCCAGAAAGTCCCGGGTGGGTGCTTAGGGGCATCCCCGACTTGTGGTGTCCCCAGGCAGGGAAGCCCAGTCTGGGGACAGCTGGCATCACCGGCCGCCAGGCTGCCCTGACATGAGACGGTGGGAAAAGCTTGAAGGACATTCAGCCGCATCTAGAGTCAGGCTGGGTCCTGACCCCGCTTGACGCTCCTGCGCTTATGATTCTGTGAGTCACTGGCCCCCTCTGCCCCTCCGTCTCCCCGCCTGTAAAGGGGGCGATGGGAGAATCTGCCTCCCGGGGTCCTTGTGAGGTTAAATAGCCCGTTCTCCTTGGAGACTTCCAGCCACCGTTGTCACCGTCCCGCGTGGGAGGACCCCGTGCAGGGCTTCAGGGAAGGATGCCCACCCCCACCCCGCGCGAGCTCGGCAGGAGGGCGGCCAGGAGGGGCTCCCCCAGCCCCTCGCCTCACCCCTCCCCTCCCTCCCCCACAGATACTCAAAGCTGTCGGACCCAGCGAACTGGCTGCACATTAATGCCACCAACGGTCAGATCAGCACGGCGGCCGTCCTCGACCGCGAGTCTCTCTACGTCAAAAACAACGCCTATGAGGCCACCTTCCTGGCAGCTGACAACGGTGCGCCCAGGGGCAGGGAGACACAGGGGGGCCCGCCCTCGCCCATTCGAAGCCCTGGGCTTGGTGCTTCATTGATGCAGGCGCCCAGGTCATTTGCTCGTGTGGGCGCCAGGGGAGCTGGGCACTGTTACTACCACTGTTACAGCTCCCTGGGCTCCTGCCATGTGCCAGGCTCTATCCATCAGTGAGCAAAACAGACAAGAGCCTTCTCCTTTGCATGGGTGACATTCTAGAGGCCAGTGTGTCAGCTTGAACCAGGTTTGTCTGCATAATAATTATAGCAATCTTAACAAGATGGAGGTTTACTTTCTGCCACGTAAAAGAAGACTGGAAGCAGGCAGCCCAGGGTCAGGTATGAGAAACCAAGCTCACTCTGGCCACTCCCGTGTCCTTGGCAAGCTGCAGCATATGGCCCAGAGCAGCTGCTGTTGCTCCAGCCATCGTGACCACATTCTGGCAGACAGGAGGAGGGGGAGGCCAAGGGCACATCCCAGCCCTTCTAAGGACTTCCACTCACAGCTCACGAAAGCCAGAACTCAGTCACGAAGCCACGTCTCACTGCGAGGGATGCTGAGGGATGTCGTCTTCTGGTTGGGCAGTGATGAGCCCAGGTAGAGTTTGGGGCTTCAGTTCTTTTATTAAGGAACAAAGAGGAAATGGATATTAGGAACAACTCAGCAGTCTCTGCCCCAGGGAGACGAGTGTGAAACAAGCCAGCCAGCCAATTTCAGGGAACGGGAGGTGCCGGAAAAGAACCAAATGGAGGATGGGAGAGTGGCCGGGGTCTCCTGCTGCACTGCTGTGAGTGACCTGCTGTGGGTCCAGGACCTGCAGGATTAGAAGAACAAGCCAGGGGAACATGGGGCGGGGAGGGGCGTCCCGGAGTCAGGAAAGGGCACTCACAAAGGCCCCGTGCCAGGCCCTTGCCACGTGGGTTCTGGGATCAGCTGCATAAATAAAGCTTCAGGAGCTAGAGTAGCCGCTGCACAAAGGTTTGGTCAACAGCAGCTGGAAGCTGGGACCTGGTGACCATCCCGCAGCCCCCTGCCCACCTCCCTCACCCCACGGGATCCACAGAGGCCCAGCCCCTCAGCCAGCCACGATGAGTGCCAGGCCCTGGTCGGGGAAAGCTGCTCTGAGCAGCAGCTAGAGCACTGAGATTAGATTAGAACGTGATTTTAATGCACCGGTGGCCAGAGCAGTGGAAAGCACGAGGAAGACACCAGAAACGGAGCACAAGTCCCGCTCGCATTAATAGAACCCGTCTGTGCTTCTCATGACTGTGAGCTGTGTCATCGGCCACCTATCACATCAGGCACCAAGCTGCGTCGCCTTGAACGTGCTTTGATGCATTTCCTGGGAGATCACAGACGCACTATGGGATGGATGTCTTACATGCTCTGCCTGCCTCAGCCAAGAAACGCAGTCGTCAATGACGGGGTCAGAGTTGCCATCAAAGGGCAGGGCCACGGTCAGAACACGGAGGACAGACAGGCCACCTCTGGCCACTCAGCGCTGGTCCACCCCCACTGTGCACCTGGGCCGAGGCAGGGGCTGGGTGTTGGCAGGGCGGGGGCGGGGGGGGGGGGTTGGGGACAGGACAGCCACACGTGGGCAGGTGTGTGCAGTTCCTGTGTGTGTGCAGCTGAGTGGCTGCATATGTCATATGGCAGAGTGTCTGTGCATGTGGGGCTGTGGTCAGCTGGGGTCTGTCCTGGGTGGGGCTGGGGGTCCGTCCTGGGTGGGGCTGGGGTCTGTCCTGGGTGGGACTGGGGGTCTGTCCTGGGTGGGGCTGGGGTCCGTCCTGGGTGGGGCTGGGGCGTGGTCCCATGCACACTGTACGTCTGTGGTCATGGAGCCCAGGAGTGACCCGTGTGATCACCCGTGTCCGGCCCACAGGGATCCCTCCGGCCAGCGGCACCGGGACCCTCCAGATCTATCTCATCGACATCAATGACAACGCCCCCGAGCTGCTGCCCAAGGAGGCGCAGATCTGCGAGAAGCCCAGCCTGAACACCATCAACATCACGGCGGCTGACGCGGACGTCGACCCCAACATCGGCCCCTACGTCTTCGAGCTGCCCTTCGTTCCAGCGAGCGTGCGGAAGAACTGGACCATCACCCGCCTCAATGGTAAGCCTGCCTCGGGCACCAGCCCACTGGCACCCCTGCCAGTGGGAAAATCAGACTGAGTCTAGGGTGCAGGCCCCCAGGGGCCCGTCACCCCTTCACAGGAGGGTCGCGCAGCCCCTTCCTGTGGGGTGGGGGCCCCTGCCTGCTCCGGGGCTCGGCCGCCAAGGAGGCCCCCAGGGCAGGCCCCAATCTCATCATTTTAACAAGCTCAGCCTTGACCATCCCAGTGGCTGTAACTCCAGACCACTTCCTGTGCCATCACCAAATGATGGGACGGACCGTAACCAACATATTTCCTGAGGGCACTTTCCTAGCTGTGGCCTTGGTAGAAAGGGCATCCAAGTTCTGAAGTTCTGATAGCATTTGCTTGTTCCCCAAGCCCTTACCAACACTGAATATTGTTTTAAAAAGCATTTTTCCAATTCTTTTAGCGAAAATCACTGTTTCCACTTGTATCTTTTGACTACCAGTGGGCATTTTTTCATATATTTATTGGCCATTTGTTGCTTCTGTGAACCACCTGTTCAACGTCCTTGCCTATTTTTCTTTGAAAATGGGGTTTTTTTCTAATTGATTTGGTCGAACTCTTTATATGTTAAGGAAATAATTTCATCATTCTTCGTGTTGTAACTGCTCTATTTCTCTTTTATTTTTTTCTGGGCTGTGTTGGGTTTTCGTTGCTGCGCGCGGGCTTTTCTCTAGTTGCGGCGAGCGGGGGCTGCTCTTCATGGCAGTGCGTGGGCTTCTCATTGCGGTGGCTTCTCTCATTGCGGAGCATGGGCTCTAGGCACCTGGGCTTCTGTAGTTGTGGCACATGGGCTCAGTAGTTGCAGCACGCAGGCTCTAGAGCGCAGGCTCAGTAGTTGTGGCGCATGGACTTAGTTGCTCCGCAGCATGTAGGATCTTCCCGCACCAGGGCTCGAACCCGCGTCCCCTGCATTGGCAGGCGGATTCTTAACCACTGCGCCACCAGGGAAGTCCAACTGCTCTATTCTTGAATTGCCAACGTCTCAGCCTTATGGTATGATGCAGGGTGTGTGTGCGCACATGTGCGCACGTCTACGTGTGTCTTAGCCAAGCAGGCGTGTTGGATGTTCCCACTGTCAGTCTTTGCCTCCGTTAGTCTCGCTCAGAAGGGAGGGCGGGCTGCTCAGTGAGTGGAGCCCGTCCCGTCACTCGCGCCAGGTGACTACGCCCAGCTCAGCCTGCGCACCCTGTACCTGGAGGCCGGAGTGTACGACGTCCCCATCGTCGTCACGGACTCGGGGAACCCGCCCCTGTCCAATACGTCCATCATCAAAGTCAAGGTGTGCCCGTGCGACGAGAATGGCGACTGCACCACCGTGGGCGCGGTGGCAGCAGCCGGGCTGGGCACGGGCGCCATCGTGGCCATCCTCGGCTGCATCGTCGTCCTGCTCAGTGAGTGCGGCTGGTCCTGGGGTGGCGGGTGGAGGGGCCCGGGTCTGCCCACGGCCCCATCTCCTGGCCCCACTCTACCTGCCAGGAGACTTCCAGAAGCCCAGCCCAACCGGGTGCCCGCTAGCGGACACAGGCACTCGCAGCCACACGTGCGCACCCTCCCGCGCATGCGCCCTCGTGCGGACACACGCACACCTGCTCACGGGTGCCCCCGCCCCACAGCCATGGTCCTGCTGTTCGTCGTGTGGAGGAGGCGGCGGGAGAAGGAGCGGCACACGAAGCAGCTGCTCATCGACCCCGAGGACGACGTGCGCGACAACATCCTCAAGTACGACGAGGAAGGAGGCGGCGAGGAGGACCAGGTGAGGCCCGCGCCCGGGGAGGGTGGGCCTGGGGCGCTGCCCAGCTGGTCACTGGGGACTCAGGGCGAGCCTTAGCCCATAAAAGCTTAGTGACCACCCCCCGTGGAGTGGGCGTTCCCAGGAACACACGAGGAATGTGGTGGCAGCTGAGCGGATGGGGAAGGGGTGGACCCCAGGGGGAAGGCAGCAGGGGGCACAGACCCCACATGTGCCTTGAGGACGGGCAGGATTCGGATGAACAGAGGTGGGGTGAGCATTTCAGGAAGGACAGACCAGGTGAGGGGCCAGGACGGGGGGGCGCCCGGGGGGCCCGGAATAGGTCAATGGATATGGTCAGAGCCCCATCACAGAACATGATGAGGACGCGCCCCACGATTTATCTGGTGTCTCTGCCTGGTACGCCCCCTACCCGGACTGCCTTTCCTGACTCCCCTGCCCGCCCCCCCAGGACTACGACCTCAGCCAGCTGCAGCAGCCGGAGGCCATGGAGCATGTGCTGAGCAAGGCCCCCGGGGTGCGGCGGGTGGACGAGCGGCCGGTGGGCGCCGAGCCCCAGTACCCGGCCAGGCCGGTGGTGCCCCACCCAGGAGACATCGGGGACTTCATCAGCGAGGTGGGTAGCCCGGCAGTGCCGGGGGCGCAGACCTGCTAACACAGACAAGAAGAAGCCCGCTTCCCTGGGGCCCGGTGCTGGGCTGAGCAGGTAGATCCAGACCTGGGTTCACGCCGGCCGTGCTGCTGCCGCCGGCGGGGAGCCCTGGGCCGAGCTCCTCGGTTTAGTATCCCCGCTGCAGAAGGACTAACCTGCCCCCGCCCCCGGTGAGGACAAACACGCAGGGCTTAGCAAGACTGTTGGAATTTGAGGCCACAGTCCAGGCAAGAACAGGAAGGGGACCAGCAAGGTGGCTCTGACCCCAGACTCCCGTCTGCAGCGATCGGGAGAGGCCTCCGCAGTGTCCACTCAGCCCCGATGACCAGACGCGCAGGCTGCCCCCTCCCCACTCCACACACACACAGGGCACCGGGGACAGCCTGGGAGGTGAGCATCATTCCAGAGCTGCCACCTGACCACATGGCCGTGTCACCCATCCTAACGCCTGGGCTCTGGAGACCATGTAGGCTCAGAGTCCCAGCCAACGGCGTCCCTTTGATCATCCCCTTGGCAAGAAAAGCTGACCCACCTCTTGAAGCTGAGCCCAAGGTGCCCAACTGACACGTCCAAGGGCGTCAAGAGCGCGCCTCCCACCTCTGCTCCCATCCTCCTGTGTGGTAAAGCCGAGGGACGGCATGAGCCAGGGCACGTGGCTGCACCCCAGACGCTCTCCCCCACCGCCAGCTGCTGTGGCCCGGGCAGCCAGTACCTCCGCGCCCACCGTGGCTCCCACAGACGGGATGCCTTCCATGCCCCGTGTAGCCAGCGTGGGTCCCTGCGGATTTACCACCCATCTCTAACACGACTGTACTTTGAGAGGGGCTGACAACACTGCTTTCTCCACCTGTGTCAGAACCGGACTTTAAAAGGATTTATTTAAACAGAATAGAACCCAGGGAGTGGTTTGGCAGAGACACAAAAGAGATTTCTCAGAACATTCCCCGAAACAGACCGTGTCTCAGGCCGTAAATGAAATTTTTATGACTGCCCAAAAGCCGATTCAGCTTAGACAACATTTACCATCTACAGTGTAATAAAATTTTTTAAACTCCAAAAACTACGTCCTCCCTGATCGACAATCAAAGGCCCACTTTTAAGCAACTTAGAGGAAAGCAAAAATGGAAATGACCAACCATTCCGTACTGAATAATGGAAAAGGTACTCCCCTCCCTAAGGAGGGCAGGCTTAGGCAGTGACCAGCACAGGCCCCCGGGCCGTCCTGCAGGAGACCCCTGGAGCCGGCGGGGAGCCCTCCAAGCTGTCCCGCCCCCCGGGGGGAGGGAGCGGGGAGGTGTGTCCACCCCTCCCACGGTCCCCGGGTGGGAGCTGCCAGGGGCACCCTTGGCCAGTGGCCAGAGTGCTGGAGGTGGCCTGGCCAGGGGTCCCAGCATCAGGCACTGGGGGAAAGGGGCCGGGGCACGGGCAGGGGCTCCAGCCACACCTGCTACATCCCCGTTTGCTCCCGCGCACAGTTACGGTAACAACTTCAGGTGTCTTGACACCCACCCCGGGTTCCCCTCCCTGTGGCAACAACCAGGGACTCGTGGAGGCTGGCCTCTCACACAGGCCCCGGCCGGCCCTCCGCCTGGCTGTGTGCGCTGCCCCCAGGCCTCTTGCACAGCTCATTCTGCAAACACTGCGCCCCTACTCGGGCCTCTGAGGCGCCTTTCACTGACACGCAGGAGCACTTATTGAGCACCTGCTGCATACAAGGCCCCATCACTGCACCTCCCCAACCTGCCTCCCCATCTCCGCTCCTGGGCGCCCCTCTGCCCCCCGCCCTGCACCCTAACCCGTGTCTCCACGGCCCCCAGGGACTCCGCGCAGCCGACAACGACCCCACGGCGCCGCCCTATGACTCGCTGCTGGTCTTCGACTACGAGGGCAGCGGGTCCACCGCGGGCTCCGTCAGCTCCCTGGACTCATCCAGCTCCGGGGACCAGGACTACGAATACCTGAACGACTGGGGGCCCAGGTTCAGGAAGCTGGCGGACATGTACGGAGGCGGCCAGGAGGACTAAGCGGCCCCGCCCCAGACGAGGCGAGAGCAGCGCTCGGACGTACGGGAGCAGACAGCGGGCCTTCCCGACTCCCGCGGCCACGCCACTCGGCGGTGTGTGAGGGGTCCCCGCCCGCCCCTCGCACTGAGCTGTCTGGCACGAACACTTGTCAGCCCGCAGCCGCCCCCAGCGCGGTAGCTGACTCGACACTAAGGAGAGCAGAGGCACTGTCTGAACCTGAATTTCCTAGGACAGAAGCACTGTTTAAAACAAAATGAAAGTGCCTTTTGGTACATGTCAGATTCCCTCACACTCAGGAGCGTCCCCCCAGCCAGTCCTGAGCGCCCCCAACCCCGGCCAGTCCCAGCTCTGAAGTCACGAATTAAGGAATTGGGGAGAATGTGTCCTTTTTTTCGATCTCCTATCAAGAAAAAAAGTGGGTGACGCACCTGACAAAATTGACAATTTGGGGTCCAAACGCCATAAGCCTTGAGTGCTCACACTTTGCTTGCACAGTTGGGGTCTCCTGGGCCACCTGGGGGTCCCCGAGGCCGGAGGCCCCACCTTCAGCTCCTGCAGCAGCGAGTCCGCCTGGGGCAGGCCAAGCCGGTGGACCAAAGGCCCGCTGTACAGCTGGGCTTCCACAGAAGTGTGCCGCCCCCGACTCCCAGATGCTGGAAATAGCTGGGCAGCTGCGGTTCCCAGGGGCTGTCCCTGATGCTCCCCCATCTCTGCCCTTGGCCACCCCCAGGGCCCCCCAATCATGAGGCCTCCCCCAGGGCCAACTGTGACCCTGAATGCCACCCAGGTCCCCACTGCCTTTGGTCCAGGAGAGTACGGTGTCCCAGGAAACCACAAGCAAAACCGGCCCGACGGACACTCACCAGTCCAAACCCCCGAAGGCTCTGGACGCCTCTGGCCACCGGCGGGGCGTGCGGACTGCAGGGAGAGCCGATTCTCACCGGGGTCCCAGGAGGCTGGAGACGACTGGGGGGACTGGCGGGCTCCTCCCTGCCCTGCTCCTCTGGACCAGAGTTTCTGATGCTCGTGAGCTGATGTGGACGGCTAAGGTCGGCTCCGAATGCCGGGACAGCACCGTCGTCGCTGTGCCATCTGTCCCACACGTGCGTCTCACCGCATCCGCCAGAAACAGTCTCCTTTCCTTTGGACCCGTGGCAGCAGCCAGCAGCTGCAGGGCCAGGTAGCTGCTTGAGCTCTCAGAACTGGCCGTGCCTCCTGCGGGGCAGTCTGACTCCCAAGCCAGACTCCAGAGTCAGCTCCACAGTGCAGCAAGGAGCCCCCTGCTGTGTCTGTCCGCGGCTGCGTGAGAAGAGGCGCTGGGGCAGCCCTTCGCCCAGCATCTCCCAGGGACCTCCATTCTGGGTGTGAAGGCGCCTCAGGCCGGCAGGAGAGCCACCTCCTGGGGGATCCTTGCCTGCTCTCGGGCTCCCCAGGGAGGGGCCTGGGCTGCCACTGGCCCCGGGCAGGACTTGGTGTCGGAGCCCCACCTCACACCTGCTCCTGGGGCCAGGGGAGGCCTCAGGAGGGCGGGGGCGGGGTTTCACACGCTCCCCATGCCCTCCGTCGGGGGGTCTCTCTCCGATCCACTCCCCAGCCCACAGCCTGCCCTGGTGCCATGGTCATCCTCTTTTCTAAACAGCCTCGGCCTCAAAGATGAGCTTGAGTGTACACGTGTGTGCGCAATCCGCGTGGGTGTGTCCCCCCTGGACGTCAGGGTTCTTCCCCAAACCAAACTCATCACTAATTCCATCCACCCTCCCGGAGCTGAGCTGAGCTGAGCTGAGCTGGGGAGACGGGCTCCGGCCTGTGGCCTGAGGGAGGCCCGTGCTGGGCTCCATCCATCCTGACCCCGTCCATGACTCCTGGGGAGGGACGCGTGGACGGAGGCAGTGGTCACCGGTGTCACATGCCGATGCCCCTACGCAGACTGCGGTCTCCCAGACGTGGCAGGCGGCGTGGCCTGCCGGAGAGGGGGGACGCCCCCCTGTGAAGCCATGCTATGCAAATCGCTCGGGGTCAGGCGGCCCATGAGGATTGTCCCAGTGTCTGAAGGTGTGGCCATTCAGGATTGCTGGTGGTGTCAGGGTTGGTGAGACGTGAGCTGGAACCTTGTTTTTGTTTGTTTCTGGAAAGCTCATCCTCCAGTTGAAGTTCTAAGGGTGAATGTGGTGGGGGGCCCAGACAGCTGTGAACTCTCCTCACTGGAATCCCGAGGCCCCCTTTGGTCCCCTGGGCCCTGGGCTCACCCCAAGGATGGGTGTGCCAGGCGCGGCCTGTGACTCGGACCCCTCGGGGCACCAGGCGCCCTGCCTCCCCCCACCCAGGAGAGCCGGATGCAGAGTCCATCTCACTGCCCCCTTCCAGCTCTCTTCCCCTGGCCCCTCGCCTCATCACTGCCAGGGCCCCTGCATCTCGCCTGCATCGCACAGGCCGAGGCTGCGGCAGCCAGCGGGGGACACGTCAACCGAGGGGGTGCTTCTCACACCCATCCCTGCTTCCAGGCAGCCGGACAGCTGCCCCTGGAGGCTCCCACCCCCTCCCAGGTGCCTCCCAGAGCTCCGTCCCAACCAACGGGTTAGCATTAGCTAAACACACAATCAGCGTCAAACGTCCCTCTTTCGTAGCTTGTAGATACGACGGGTCCAGATCGGGACGCGGCCAGCGGAGGCCTGGACTCGGTGCTGGCGAAGCGCTCGGGCAGGTTCAGTGCCTGTAGGGAATTTCTGTTCTTGTGAACAGGAGACGCCAGCAAGAATGCCCTGGCCTCGGGCGGTGGGCACCCCCAGCCTGGGGCCACCGTGCCCGTCAGCCCTCAGCACCCGCCACCCCTGGCCCAGCAGGCCTTCCCTTTTCTGTGTCCTTCAGAACATCCCGGGCGCCTGACCTCCCGCCGCCAACGTGTCAGGGTAACGGCAGTCGTCAGGCCTTCCCTACTGTGAGCACCACCCGCACGGGCCTTTGAGATGACAGCTCTGTTCCCTCCAAGGGGAGCGTCAGGGAGGGGAGTCTCAATTTCTGTCAAGGCTGAAAGGTGTAACACCAAGAAAGCAAACACAATCTCCCCCCCTATGGAGCATCCTGAGAGACAGTTCCGCACAACCTGGCGTAGATAAGACAGGCCCCCCGCAAAGCGGGGCATCCCGGGGTGGGGGGAACCTCTGTGTATAATTGGAACGCATTTTGCTTTTCCTTTCTCTCCTTTTCCCATTCTAATTTTTTTTTTTTTTTTGCATGTTTCTTTTTGAAAACGGACAAAATGTGTAGCAGCCCGCATGACTGTGGTTGTTCTGGGGAAAGATACTGGAGTATGATGTATTCACACTGCATCTCTGAGCATTGCGCAGTTAGACAAACGTTCCAACTTTTTTTGTAATCGTCAACAGCACAACTATTTTGTATTGTTGTTTGTATCATTTTGTACCAAAAAAAAAAAAAAAAAAGAAAAAAAGGGAAGAGCGTTGACGTTTTCAACGTGTTTTCTAGTGCCAGGCGGTCTTGGCTCCAAACTGAGCAGCAGCTTCGCGGAGGTGCCATGTGTGGGAGCGGGCTCGGGGTCCTGGCACGCTGCTCCAGGGCAGTAAATAAAGTCCCCCTGTTAAGTGGTCGCCTGACCCTGGCTTGTTTTTCTCCGAGTGTCCCATCCGCTCAGGGGCAGCAGATGGATGAACACGGGGGCTGAGGTGTCGAGAGGGGGTTTGAGCACCTGCTGTGTCTCAGGCTCCGCCCTAGGCTCTGAGGGCACAGACAGCAACAGGACCAGGCCCACTCCTCACACCTGTGAGGCCCCGGGGACGCGCACAGATGAAGGCCCACGGGCCATGTGTCTAAATATGCCGACGTTCTTAGAAGGTCTAAACCAAGCTAACAAACCGCTCAGCGAGGTGTGCTCCCCCTCCTACCTCGGCGATACACCTTCCTGCCACCGTGAGAAGGCTGGGTCAAGTTCAGGGTTCTCCTGCCCCTCGGATTCTCTCAGGGCCCAGCCTCCTCCCCGCCTCCGGGGACTGCAGGCCCACCCCTGACGCCAGCCAGAAACCCACGGGCCAGCGGGTCCAGTCCTCAGCAGCTCTGGTCACGTGCTCCAGCCTGCCCTCGACCGCTGGCCACAAAGGTGCAGAGGGGAGCCCCCGGGTTCAGTGCCAGACTCGCTGGGGCTCTGACCACCTCAGGGAAACAGCTCAGAAAGGCTGAGGGGCACCCCGCTCACCCCACTAATAAGTGGCGCAGTCAGACCAGAGCCCCAGGGGCCCACCCTGCAGGCCAGGCTCCCAGCCCCGCCCCCCAGCCCCCACCCACTTCCAGGCCTCTCCTGGGGCTCGAATCTGCAACCAGGACAAGGCGCGTAACAAAAAGTCACTTGCACGAGTTGACAGTTACAGGCGTGGTCAGCACGTGCACGAGTTGACAGTTACAGGCGTGGTCAGCACGTGCACGAGTTGACAGTTACAGGCGTGGTCACAGCACGTGCAGTTTTGAGGGTGCCGGCAGCTAATGACATTCACAGTTAGGTAACTGCTGTGGGCCTGGGGCAGGCAGTCACTGGGGGGCACAGCGCCTTGTAATCAGACCCCCGGGGCCAGGACCTGGGGGGTTGGGGGGACAGTCTGCTTAAGGTCACCCCCTCCCAGCTCCACGGCAGAGGGCTGGCTAGAGCGCAGGCCCAGCAGTTGTGGCGCACGGGCTTCAGTAGTTGTGGCTCGCGGGCTCTAGAGCGCAGGCTCAGTAGTTGTGGCGCACAGACTTAGTTGCTCCGCGGCATGTGGGATCTTCCCGGACCAGGGCTCGAACCCGTGTCCCCTGCGCCGCCAGGGAAGCCCTGCCCTGCCCCCTGTCCCTAGAGAAGCTGAAGTCTCCCAGGCCTCCCTGCACCGCCAGGGAAGCCCTGCCCTGCCCCCTGTCCCTAGAGAAGCTGAAGTCTCCCAGGCCTCCCTGTGCCGCCAGGGAAGCCCTGCCCTGCCTCCTGTCCCTAGAGAAGCTGAAGGTCTCCCAGGCCTCCCGTAGTCACAAAGGAGCAGCTCAAGAAGCTAATGATCAGGACCGAGAGTCACAGACTCAGGGGCTGACGCACATTCCTGAGCCGTTTTACTGACACTGTAACTGCCACCAGAAGGAAAAGGCTGGCTGCGTGATGACCAGGGTGCAGCCGTGACATAAGCTGCTCCATCTGGAGCGGAACTGAGTCTGTGGCACTCGAGACAACTGAGTCTTGTCTCACGGTTCCAAGAACTGGCCTCAAGAGAATGGGATTAACATTATTGCTCATATTAACCTATATCCTCGTGTAGCTCGTTCTGCCCGTATATGTAAGCAGGCAACTAAAGCTGTCAGCAAAGAGGTGCTGTCGACAGACCCACGTCGACATCCTCCACGCTGAGAATATGGCACCTATGTCTGCAGGAAGAAGTTACAGAAGCCAGGCCTTCACCCCTAATCCCATAGAACTGGAATGCTGTTCCAAGCGGGGATCTGTAAGCAGCTCTTTGCAAGCGGTCCCCTTGTCTTGTCACTAACCCCACACTCTACTCGTCTCTGGCGCAAGCGCACCTTTCACATCTTCTGATCACACAATACCTTGCTCAATGTGTTGCTTCTCTCCATAGATCGAAGACGTAGAAACGAAGGATAAGTAACTAACAGACACCCAGATCTCTTCCCCAGCTTCCCCTGCAGTAATCTCACGAACAAACTGCGTGAAGGGGACAGCATCTAAAAAAACGTCGCAAGGAGTCGACCATCCTGCACACAGTGGGGAATGGCGGCGACTCTGACCCCAGTGTCTCCATGATTAACCGACATTACCGCCTCTTTTTCCTTAAAAAACTTTCACGGCTGAGCAGAATCTTGGGAGTAGGTTTAGGGGGACACTGAGTACGACTTCTCCCCCACGTTGCTGGTTTTCTGATTAAAAGCACTGTTTTCCATTTCTACCAACACCTGCCTCTCCAGCATGGATCTCCAAACAGCGAGCGGCTGGACCTGAGTTCAGTAACATTTTTACCTAAGGAAAAGAAAATAAACTTCCACCCTGAGCCCAATTTTAACCGATAATCTCAGGCTGGGCACTGCCTCACAAGAACCAGGCACACTCTCGGCTCTCCTGGGCACGTCTCCGCGTCCTCTCCCACCTTCTCCCCGCCCCTAAGTGCCCCGAGAAAAGCTCCCCTCCCCCCCCCCCCCCCCACACACACACACAGGCACACACACGTTCCTCCCATCTACTCAGGGACGTGCCCCCAGGACAGCCCAAGGCTGGGCAGGGGAAGCGAGGGAGGGCTCGGTCATCACGACTCTGCCGTGCCAGACGCCCCAACACAGCATCTCACAGCGAGACGCATGGGACGCGGGGACTCCCACTCCGCAGAGGACGGCGGCGGCCAACTTTGGGGCCAGTTTGACCCTGTTACTGTTTGCCAGGAACGTGCCGGCACCACCATGTTAAGTGAGCCCACTGCTCCCCAAGCCCAAGGGGCACAAGCACGAGCCCCGCACCCACACGCGCAGACCAAAGCCCGCCTCCTGCCACAGCAGGCCCCTCCCCGAGGGCGGGAGCGCTGCCAGCTCACCGGGACCTGCCCCCACAGTACCCAGGGCCAGGCCTCTCCTGCACAGCCGCAAAGCACCTCAGACCAAGGCGGGCGGGGCAGTGCAGGAGCACAAGCGGGGTCTCCCCGACCCTCCAAACTGCAGCTTTAAGCGGCCTCCTCAGAGAGGGACGGGGCTCGTCCGGTCCCTGGGTGCATGGGTGGGAGCAGAGTAAGTGGTCCAGTCAGCCCCCTTCGGCAGCAGGACTGAGGCCCGGAGGCTCCCAGAGGGGCCCGCCCCGGAACGAGAGGACCTGAAGACCACCCCACGCTCCCCGACACCTGCTGCCCCAGCCAGCGGCCTCCCCCGCGGGGGCCTAGGCGGCAGTAACCTCGTCCTGACTCAGGCCCTCAGGGGTTGTATCAGATTCGGGGCGCTCTGCAGGCTGAGGGCCTCGTGAGCACTGCCTCATCTGGACAGCATTAGGCCTCAGAAAACAAGGACCCTCAAGGTTGACACTGAAAGCACAAAGCCCAGGACACACGCTGAAGAGCCAAAGGAGTGGGGTGTGGCCAGACCCTGAGCCTGACAGACCACTCTCCGCCCTCCCAACCCACGTGCCCCATCACATCCCCCAAATGCCCACCAATCCCGTCCCCAACCCACCCCTACACTCACGCTCACTCAGACTCCGGTCCTGACTCACACTTAGGTGGAGGGTGCTGACCGTGGTGCTGAACTCCAGCCGCCGGGCCCCGCTCCGGTGTGGCCTCAGGACGTGCCCACAGGGACTTCTGCCTGTTTAGGAAAAATCACCTGCTTGGAAATTTACCTCAAAGGCAAGAAGGGGGACAGAGAGGGGTGAGGTCTGGCCCCGCTGAGCCCCTGCCACAGGGACATTACTTCTCCAGGCCCTGCCCTGCTGGGCCGGGCAGTGGGAAGGGCGCCCGGGCAGCCGGGGCTCCACGTGAGCAGCAACCCCCCTGCAAAGCCCGGGAGACCCTCGTGGCCCTGAACCCTCAGACTTCTCCGTAAGGAAAGCCCCCCCTGCCCACCCTGCGGTCCTCTCTGTCCTTCCTCCTTGTCTGATTCCTTGAACAACTTCATTATTTACGTCCACGTGTCTTACCCCAAGTTCTTCCTCTGGCCTGTCTATACATCGTAACAGGCAGTGGCCTCCCTGGATGTCCCCACTATGTTCCCAGCGTCCAGGGTGGCCTGGCCAGGAGGAGCTCACGTCCCAGCTGTCAAGACATGCTAACCAGGGCATCCTTGGTGGCGCAGTGGTTGAGAATCTGCCTGCCGGTGCAGGGAACACGGGTTCGAGCCCTGGTCCGGGAAGATCCCGCACGTGGCAGAGCAACTAAGCCCGTGCGCCACAACTACTGAGCCTGCGCTCTAGAGCCCGTGAGCCACAACTACTGAAGCCCGCGCACCTAGAGCCCGCGCTCCGCAGCAAGAGGAGCCACTGCGATGAGAGGCCCGCTCGCTGCAACTGGGGAGAGCTGACTCACAGCAGCGAAGACCCAACACAGCCAAAAGTAGAATAAATACATTTACAAAAAAAAAAAAAAAGACATGCTAACCAGGCCCCTGGCCTTCCTGGGCCAGCAGCGAGTGCGTAGCCAGAGCCTGGCCAGAGTCAAGACCCGGCTCTGAGTCCAGCTCCGCTCCTCCTGGAGCTCCTGACCTTGGACAAGTACCCTAAAGGTCTCCGGGCCAACACCACCTGCCCGGTGGGTGGTTGGGAAGATGAACTGAGATGGGCTACAGTCCAAGTGCCCAGGAGCACATTAGCGTGGCCCCGGGGTGTGCGGGCACCCAGGGGATCCACAGTACATGGCCAGCGCCCCAGGGACATGCGCTGTGGTCAGCAAGCATGCAGTGTGTATGCACGGGGTGGGGGGGGGGGTGGTGTTTGTTCACAGAACGCACACCATCCCCATTCACCATACACCCGGGCAGCTGGTGGGCACTTCGCTCCGGTCCCATTGGCTGAGACCTCTGCCCACTGCTGAACACTGAGGAATGACTCGGGGTGACTTAGGGAGGGGGGCAAAGAAACTTCCAGAAGCATGCCGGCCCGAGTGGCCAGGCAGGGGGTGGAGGGGGAGAGCACTCTGCACCTGGAGCCAGGAGTGGGTCTGTGCTTGCACCCTGGCCTTTTCCTTCCTTTTAAACTTCTGGAACGGTTGCCATGGAAACTCAGAGGCCGGTGGTCAGGAGTAGCTGAGGAGTCGGGCACCGGTCAGCTGGGCCTGCTGGGAGGGCCAGGTGGGACCAGTCACCCACCTCCCTCCCCAACCCTCCACCACCACCAGAAAGAAAACCTGGGGAACCTCCCTGGCCGTCCAGTGGTTAAGACTTCGCCTTCCAGTGCGGGGGGTGCGGATTCGATCCCTGGTCGTGGAGCTAAGACCCCACAGGCCTCACGGCCAAAAAACCAAAACATAAAACAGAAGCAATATTGTAACAAATTCAATAAAGACTTTAAAAAAAAAAAAGTCCACATCCAGAAAAACAAAACACCTTAAAAAAAGAAAGAAAGAAAACCTGGGTTCAGGGCCTCTCTTGGGAAGCTGCAGGATTTCCCTCTGGGCTGGCAGTCAGGGCTACAGACGTGGAGGAATCCGTGCGAGGATGCTGGACGTGAAGGGCCAGTGACCACGCCTGGAAGAATCTGACGGGTCTTTGCGCCCTCACGGGCACGTGCCCTCCGCAGGACGGCGGGCGCCAACCCCTGCACCCCCACCTCATCCTCCGTTAGCAGGATGGGGTGACCCCGGGCGGCTGGTCAGCTACAAGTGGTGGACAGGGATGGGCCAGGCCACTTCAGGGCCTGAGGATGCTCATCTCTGCACGTGTGTCTGCTTTTTGCCTGCTCTGTCAGGCCAGCCTAGGACTCTCCACAGTGGAACCCAGGCGGCCCATGGGAAGAGCCTTTGTAGGGTCCCAGGGCCTTTCTTTTATATCTTCTGTCTGGCGGTGTGGGTGATGAAATAAAAATTCATATTTTAAGGCAAGCGAGAAAAACTCATACATTTTTTTCTCTGCCCTTTGGCCTCCTCCCTCCCCTCCGGGGTGCATTATGCATTAACCAGACCTCCCCAACAGCAGAAATACCTGCGCAGCCATAAAGATCAATTTTTCTTCTTCTGGTACCAGCCACGTAATTCCCTAAAAGATAACATTCCTTTCTTAGTCCCGTCAGGGGGCCTCAATGAGCCACCACTCGTCCTGTACGCGCAGACGTCTTTGGTGGACTTCACGGACAAGGCCACGATATCATTTCCCTTAAAGATAATGACTGGCGCAGAACAGACTGATCAGACGACCTGGGGAGATACTGGGCTGCACCTAATGGAAGCTCTCGGCTTAAATACTCACTTATGGCCTTGTTAACGTCACTGCCCATTCTACCCGATTATTGGTTTTTGCGTTACCAAACGTGTGACTGAACCTCTGATAAAATTAATGGCTAGCGGACTTGAAACCACTGACCAAATACACAGTTGTATAAGATCAATGATTGTAATAGTGTAGCTCTGGATGTGAGACAAAGCGACAAGAGGGAACTGTTTCCTGGACCATGACAGACTGTGAGACAGGCGGCCAGAGGCTTGGGCTATTGTTAACAGGGCCTGGTCCAGGAACAGCCCATTGAATGGCCCATCCATGGCATCCTCACCTGACCAGGGAATGAGCATTCCTAGCGCCATGGGACAAATTGGTCATGAAATGCCTCCCAAACCTGGGTAGAAATTAAGACCGAAAGGGAGGGGATTGTACACAAAGACCGCTGCCCGCCATCCAGCTCTACAAGAATCAAGTCAGCCACTGGAGTCGCTGACCTAACAGCACATCCGGAAAGGAACTCAGAGCGGAGATCAAGGCGGAACTGGCCCTCAGGAAATACTTTCAGGAGAAAATTTTATGAGGCCCGTTTCTTGCCTCTTCCCATACTTAGAAAAGCACTAAAACCATTAGCTAAGAGATCTGTTCCTGGAGAACAGCAGTGACCTTCTACCAAACTGTGTGCTTGGGTGCATGTACACCATCGTCAAAATCACATGTACGTGTGCTGACCTCCCCCCTCACCTCTTCCCAACAGTCCTCAGAGCCCCCTGAGAGGCTGTCTGTCTCCTGGGTTATAACCCTCGGGCCGGCACCAATGAAAATGTCCATTTCTTAGACTGACTACTGATCGGCCTTTTCATCCACACGGAGGCGCGCCCATGCTTTTTAATAACATTTCGGTAGCTTTTCTGGAGCCTTCTGGATGCACGGACTCGTCGCCCACTCCCGCCAGGCCTGGGGGGCCAGGTGCACAGCTGCCCCGCGGGGGCAATCAGCTTAGTAACAGAGCCTCTGGTCCCTAAACCTGGGGGCGCCAGCCAGGTTTTCGCCCCTCCTCCCGGGAGGTGAACTGCGGCGCGAGGCGTCTCACCGCCAAGGACCTGAGAAGCGCGCGCCCCGGCGACCCTCCGCTGGTGCCCCCACCCGCGTGCACCGCTGCCCCGCCGGCTCAAGCGCCCCGCCCCCCCGCCGTGGGTCACGTGCGCCTCCCCCCTCGCTGCCCCATCCCCACCCCACCTGCCCTCCACCCCGTGCGCCCCGCTCCCGCGAGCCGGTGGGGCGTCCTGGTCCCGCGGCCCCACACCGCCACCTGGCGGCCCGGCCTGGGATGCGCGGAAGTGGTCCCCGCGTGGCCCCCAGGACGCACCGGGCTCCGCAGGGCGGTGGCCTCGGGCGAGCCCATTCCCATTCTCCCTCCGGCCTGCTTCCTCGCCCCGCTGGTCCTGGCCTCTGGCACAGACCCGCCGCTGCATTGGGACGGGTCCCTGAGAGCGCCCCGGAGACCCCACGCCCGCTGGTGAATTAGCATCTCTGGTTCCTCTGCCCAGGGGGCTGCAGTTAGGGCTCTTAGGTTAACCCCACTTCAGAGCTGAGGACACTGAGGCCCAGAGGGTGAAATGCTTTCTGCATCCAGAGGCGGGGGTGTGAGCCCCGACTTCGCGCTGGCGGGTCAGGGGGCCCCGGGCCGGCCCTGCCAGGAACCCAGCAAGGCCTGGAAACCCCACCCCTTCTTCTGGTGCCCAAATGAGAAGCCTCAGTCCGAGGATGTCACCACCCCCTCAACCTACTTCTCCGAATGTCTCCCTTCTTCCAGAAATCCCTGACATGCCCTCACCCTGAGTTTGCAGAGGCCCCCTCCCAGGGGACGGCCCCTCCCCTCCGCTCTGGTGTGGGTCCTTGGCCCAGCCAGGCTTGGGGGCTACACCAGGCTTCCTCGCTGAGTCTGCCCTGGGAGGGGAGGGGAGGGACCGTGAGGGTGGGAGTACTCGGACAGGTTCTTTCCAGGGTGTAGTCTGCAATGTTGGGGGGGTCTTCGGTCCTTCCTCAAACTCCTGGGAGCCAGTTCTCAGGGCTGGGCTGGATGTGCAGGCCTGGTTGAATTGACAAGTGAAATTCTTGTCACCACCCTGCCCCAGCACGTCCAAAAATGGCTCAGTGCTGGCCTTCAGGCACGGCTGGATCCAAGTGCTCCAAGAACACCACTCTTTCGTGTTCTGTATTGACCTCACTTTCAGCCAAGCTCTCGAGAAGCAGCAGTCTAGGTGGCCCTAGGCAGAAAAGCTGACCTCCCACCAGCCCCGAACATGTACAGCTCCTTTCTGTGGAGTGCCTGCATCCCTCCCCTCCCCTCCTGCGCCCAGTCCCCCCACTCCTTGCACCCTCTCTCTTCCTTAGCATGCCCCACCCTGCCACCACTGCTGCAGCGGCCATCACCGCCCATCCCCCAGGAGTATAAATGTGCTCCAGCATCTCCCGTCTTTCAGCAGGCCTCCTTCCACCTCCCCTCCCCACACAGCCTCTCCCAAGGTTACATGCGGTCTGATCCCCATGCCTCCCCATGCCCATCCCCTCTCCCCACTCGCTCCCCACTCAGCACAATCCCAACTGCAGGCCCCCCTGGCTTCCTTGGGCAGCTGCTCACCCCTCTCTGGCACCCCTTGTCCCCAGCCTGATGATTAACCTTGTCCTGGCCCCGAACCCTTCACATGGCACCCCAAGGACTCTGCAGCCAAACTTTGCCACACACCCCCTGCCCTGGACGACACTTGCAGACGCTGTGGGAACTGCGGGTCCCCCACCCCTCATCTGTCCAGCGCCAGGACGTGTCCACCTCCCTCCCAGCCACTGCCTCCTACACCTTCCTCCTGGCCACATCCCATCCAAGCCAGTCCCCACCTAGAAACACAGCTTCATTTTTTATCCATATTCCCTTCTTTCTGCGCTTTACCGAGATACTGCGGATGCACGGTAAACTGCCCATACTTCCGGCGTGCCATCTGAAACGTTCCGACACTTGCACGCACCACCACAATCAAGGTGACAAACATCCCAGGACCCCAAAGGTTCCTCGCACCCTTTGCAGGACTCCCCCACCCCCCAGGCCACCCCAACGCTCCACACAAAGGAAACCCCACGGGGCCCTCTGGCCAGGCTGCGTTCCCTCATCATCACCCCCATCACCCCGAGACTCATTGTGGCACCGAGCGGCCCCTCCCTGTAGGAACAGGCCAACATATCCCTTCACCTGTAGAGGGACAGTTCGGGTTCCTCCAGTTTTTACCCATTTGAGATAAAGCCGCTATGAAAACTCGTGTACAATCTTTGCACAGACGGCTCTTCCATTTCTCTTGGGTGAGAGCCCAGGAGTGCGTTGGCAGGGTGTGGGAGTGGACGTGGTCCTAACACACATCTCACTTCTGAAGAAATTGCCCAGGGCCGTGCATCCTGCAGCCCCGCGGCTCCCGGGCCCTCATCCTCCCGGCACTTGGCATAGCCAGTCTTTTCCCGAGGGTGTGCTGCTAGCATCTCACTGTGCTTTTAATTTCCAAACAAGCAAAGTGTGCTTGCCTTTCTCCCCAGCTGCACCAGCAGGAGAAGCCCTGTCCCCCCCAACACACACACACACACACACACACCCCTCTGTCCAGGCCGCGGCCTCCGCTACGCCCTGCCACCCGGTGGGCTCCTGGCCACCTCTTCCAGCCCAAGTCCGACCCCCTCTGCGACGGCGCCTGGCCCTCTTGCTGCCACTTGCTGAACAAATACATTTTAGAAAAGCGATAGATCTGTGCAGGCCTGTTCCCCTCAGAAACAGAGAGAGTCTGGCAGTTAGGACTTAAAGCCTGATGCAACCGCCTCGAGAGGCAGCTAAATTTGTAAGGAGGAATGTGACTTGTTTCCCTTGCGAGTCTCCGAAGGAAACAGGACACGTCCCCTTGGGCTGGTCCTTCCTGGGCCAGGTGACCCAGGCGAGGCCAGAACGATCTGGAGGACAGAGAGGCTGCCAGCCTGTCGCTGTGGAAGGG